ATAAGGGAATACAAAGGAATTTACCCCCATGGCGCATCAACGCATTCCACATTATAATCAGAGGCAACACTGGCCTTTCCGAGACTGAGGGTCAGGCTGCAGTGGGTCCTTCTTGATGGGGCCTTCGATACCTCTCAGAGAATCGACTTTAACGCCCGCTTTTAATTTCAGCCTATACACAAGCAGAAGGGAACAGGTCGTATACGGCATGCGTAGACGAACCTATTTAGCTGCTGGCCGTTGCCTTCAGGCCTACTGGTCTCTAGGCCTCTCAGTTGTTCTTTTGTCCATTCTTTCTCATATCGCACCTCTGCATGGGAAGGATGACTCTGGGGAACTTCCTTTTGCTATAAATATGGCGGTTCGTATCTTCGTAGTTCACATTTTAGGTTTTCTTATTCTTCCTACCACGCCCCCATAAATAATTCATTCGTTTGCCTGATTCATGTTTACAACTTCTTTGAAGATTGCTGTTTATACAGGAAAATATATCTAGGGCCATTTGTTAAAGGAGACTCATGGGAATGCATACGCGAATCACAACATCTTCCACCGAATCAGTGGTGTGATCGATTGATAGTCTTGGAGAATCGTAACCCCTTCGCTACCGTATGTCTGCTCATACTTTCGGTCGCATCTTGATAAGAGGAGGGTTGTGCGCAAGCCCTAGGACGTTGCCATGCGTAGAACAAATAAACAGGCCAGCGTCAACTTGGGCATGACTTCATGTCCGACAGTGCATCTAATAAACGATGTAGTGAGTCTTCGGTTCTCCAGAGAGGGAATAGTTCAGGCCACTTCTGCCAGCGGACTGTCAGTGAACCACAACGAACAGCCGTTTTTCCTGATCATTAAACCCAGTTGGCCAGTCAGTAAAGAAACGATTATGGCGTTCATAAATCTAAATGTGGTTTCAGCTTATCCAGTCCTACAAAATAAATTCGATTGTCGTTTGAGTGGATTGCACACCCTACTCTGTGCAACGTCGCCTGCGAGCACCTGGACTCGTTGCCGAGGGAGCCGACCCCACTAGGGAAACTAAAGTTGATTGTTGTCCGTGTTCAACACGACCATGTCCGCAGTCCTAGAAAAGTTTACAGCACACTTTTAACTGCAAAGAAGACGATTCAGTACTTTTAGAACTGTTATGGATGATACACGTTGGTGACGGCGGATCGCTCACGGAGGGACCAAATTCCTCTCCGATCGCAACAGAAATGCTGCCCAGTCATAGATGACAACTGGGACCACCCCCACTACAGTAAGTGCTACCGACTCCATAGTGACCGTTGCCGGTGACGCAGACGCAAATCCAAACTGTTCAGCGAAACGGCCCCTGTAGTTCGAACATATGCATATCACTAACATCTTATCTTTTTACACTGTTAGCACAGTAGGCGATAAACTTATTTGCCTGATACGGTTAAGGAGCCATTTCGACCTCAAACTCACTCCCTCAGTCGGCCACTCCACACAAACAGATACTGGGCCGATTGCGACATCCGGGTTGTTCCCTTGTTTGGCAGCCTTTCCAGTCTCGGCTCTTAACGCATTTTGCTAGACTCAAGCACGTCAGATTTTTTTAGTTAAGAATATACACCGATACCGTCGACCTCAATCTCGTTTCTCTCTCCCCTGAAGCAGTCCACTGTCCGAACCTGTCAGTTGTCTGTGCGGGATTGTGCGCAGTGGCCGACGGGATCATAGACGCCGTGTGAGCGCGCACATGCACAAACTGCACCCAAAACGTACACAACATGATTGCGTACACATGGAAGAAGAAGCTCGGATATCACGTGCGAAAGTGCCGTTGAGAAGAAACCATCGCAGTGTGACTCTCTTTCCATCACTCTGCGACTGGATTGCGTGGTCTAATCCCACCTTCCAAACAGCGGCTTTTGGCTACAGTGATATATTTAAGTGTGTTGGGCTGCTGCTACTGTGGAATATACACTGAGACTCTCCCCCTCACTAGCTCCACTCCTACCCAAGCACCAACCAAATGATGTTCAAACTTGAACAAGTGGCTTACATCGATAAGAACTTATCGTTTGCCCGCGTCATTCAAGAGACCTGGCCTTCATACGCGCACACCATGATTTCACACAAAAGTGGTGGACTGCGCGGATTTAACATGCATCAGAGGAGTCAAAATTATATGCTTATGGAAATTGTACAACGAATAGCAACTAGACCGATCAGTGGGTTAAGGCGCTTACTTTATGAAAGGCGGCTGCAAAGGCCAAAATAGTTTCACCCTCTTATAGACAGTACAGAGGGAATAAGATAGCGGCTTATAGGATCTTTAGAGGGTTAAACTGTGTTCCTTAGTTAGGTGTCTTTTTGAAATACCACGAACAATCACATTTCGAGAGCACTAAGAAAAATTGAATTGGAGCTATGCCAAGCTTCAAATTCGAATCCAACTCATCTCCCAGCGGAGACCCAGCCACTTATCAGCAGAGTTTGATACCACCCACAAGCACAAGTAGACATAAAATGCAATAAGGGGGTCCTTGTCTTCGGCCCAACTAAACGATCTTACCTCTTGCGAATACACATGTAGACTATTAAGTGGCACACCGCAATCAATGTGTTTTCTAGGCATTTGGTTCGAGACTCACGTGGTTAAGGCAATAAATAGCACGTCACCTAATGCTAGAGGACGTAAATGTGCTGAAAAGGATCTTCACGGCGATTTCTTTTCCCTGACCGACGTTGACAAACTACTTTACCTTTTTACAATGGGCCGTTAAGGCCAATTCAAGAGTCTTCACTGTTTGCAAGTTTTTTGCGCCAGAGGTCGAGATGAAAATGTACGCACCACTTCCGTCCGTGCACGATTGCACCAAATAAAAAGGCCACTTTTCCCACTCAACTAAGATCTGTTAAAAAGGCTTTGCCTTCGTATTACCGGATAGAACAATTGGGGTTTAGCGGGCTGACAAGCTTTTCTCAAGAAACGTCCCTGTTAACAGATGACCATCATACTTTTAAAAAAAAAACTGGATCTTGCGTGTAATAGCGTGGGCAAACCAGAAAAGTTTCAGTTGTTTTAACAAAATTCGGAAAAGGGAAGGCGAGTTCCAGGTAGTAGTCGCGAAAAGGGAGACACGATTCCCGAAACAAGACATTTATTATCCTGACGTTTCGAATTCTCTCTCGAATCCATCATCAGAGAGAGAGTCAGATAAAGAGGGAAACTGTCCAGTTGTTGTAGTACTTATAGGATGTAGTTGCTAGGCCGTTACATGACTACCGCAGTTGGCAGCTCCCAAGTGCATCACGACTCGACTGGCCAGGTGCTGCAGCATGCAGTTACTGTGCATTTGTTATGCGCTCGTTTGCTGGTCAAGATTGTCTATTCCCACGCTCATCGCACGCAGTCGAGATGCTGACGACCGGATTTCGTCATCTGTGTGGGCTCTTGGGGAATCTAACTCGCCGATATTGACATCAGCAACAGTGGTCATTCGCACACAGTTTTCGCGGGTAAATACCTTGCCTAGACAAAGTCTCAGCGTCGAACACGGAGAGGGGAAATCGCTGAGTCTGCTGATTGACTGAGGACCGGAAAACCATGACTCGAGGAGTTCTCAGCTCATGCGGTTGTCACATCAAGGAAAAATTTCTGCTCTATCAAAATTAAATGTGTGGTTTGGTCCGGTAGGAGGAGCCGCGACTTGTGAGCTAGCGTCTTTCCTCCTCACCGCTGCTGCGTGCTTGGCCATCGGCGTCAGCAGTAGTCATCCGGTATCTCCGACATATTTGCTTTGCCCACAGCTACACCAGACACGGCAAACGAGCCCAGGTATTTCTTGCCGTAGCAATGGGTCTTTCAGCCCCATGATCTGACGCCTTATGGTTGCCTCCGGCCTGTTTGCTAGTCCAATTCCAAGGGGTGTGAGAAGACGGCTGACGGCTTCTGAGACATTTTTCACGTACGAGGGAGCTGGCCAACAGTTGGGGCGATTGTGTTTCGTCTCTCGTCTTGTTTGTTTAGGCAGTAGTTGACGAAGTTGCGCGGGTAGCCATTAGCTTTGAATACCCGTCGAAGGTATAGCAATTCAGCAACCTCGTCTTCCGGTTCACTGCAATGTGTCTCCACAGGCTGATACAGTTTCCTTACACAACGGAGTTTGTGACTGATTGCATGGTTGCTGTTGCAGTTCAATACTTGCGTCCTGTTCGTCGCCTTCCTGAATATTTTGGTTTTTAGGCCACCACAATTTCTGTTTTCCACTTCCCTCAACGTAGACTGGATGTCCGGGAAGATAGCGTTTGGATGTTCTTTAAAGTCCTGCACCCGATCCCGTTTGATGATGATGAAAGTATCATTTACATACCGTGCCCTGAATTTCGGTCCGTGGTGTCTGAAAACCAGCGGAAACATAATGTAGAGGTGGAACGCGAACATCATCTGAACAGCATGCTGTCTCAAAATTTATCCGGAAATGTCTTGTTAGAACGAAATATCTAAAAAAAAGTTAGCCCTCCCACATGCGGTAATGAACTGCTCATGTCTAAGAATATGCCGAATTTGAAGCCTGTGCGTAACAGCTTTGTTCACACTAGTTTTTAGCCGCGTAAACAGATTGTGTGTGCGCGCCCACCCTTGTTCCCGTTTCTAGGGTATGACTTTGGAAAAGGATCGCCCGGTATCAACCTTTCAGAATGAGGTGGAGGCACCTGCTCGGAATCGTCAGAAAAAGACAGAACCCTTCGGTGAAAACATTGGTGGCGTGCCTGGCGTAAGCTTTATGCTGTTGTTGTGCTGCACTTGACGGTGTTCGTGGACTTAATTTTTACATTTTGGACCAATCTATCTAGGAATAAACAAGAGTCCGGCAAGAAAAGATTTATTTGGCTCTTCACATCGCCCAACCTGTCCCCGCTTTATAATTTGCCCTCACCCCTCCCCCAGGGCTAAACATTTGCTAGCCCAATTGACTTGCGGGCTAGTTTGGGACTAGTATCTTGGCTAGCTGACAGTGCTCGATCTGTGCGAGTAAAGGAGCCTTTCTGCTGCACCCCCTCCTTGATGCTCACCCGCCTGCATTTTGAACATCACGCCTGGGGGTCCCTTTGCGCGTACACACGCGCTTTGTCCGAATTTAGGCTCCTGCCTGGCGACTTAAATCGCCTCGGGCTACAACGCCCTTAACTCGCCCGAGAAGGCGTGTCTACATACTCTCCCCTTAAGGGGAGACAGTGTCGACTAGGATTGCTGAAAAAATCCAGTCAGTCGCAACACTAGCCCGCGACTGGGCTAGCCGTGGGCGAATACAATGTTATCAGGGACGTGAGGGCAAAAGAGCATCAGAACATACTTATAGTTCCCCGAAGAACAAAAAGTACTTTTTGTTCTCCGGGGAACTATTAGTAAGTTCTGATGAAAGTTCTGCTTCGTAGATTTGGGGTGTTTTTTTGAAGGAAGCCACCCTTACTGCATGTCCGCATGTTTGCTGATTACTAGCGTTGTAGCCGAAAGGCCCACTTAGAAATCTGTCTTAAGTGTATTTCCTTGGCCTGGCGCATGCATAGCGGAATACATCCCAACTATGACAGAATTTGACCTTAGCTTGTACTAAACCTCGTAGACCTGACTTCGTACTCTCTCCCCTTTGAATTCTTTATTTGTCCGAGGTTGGTGCCTCAATTCACTTCACCTTACTCTACCAGTCAAACGGCTGACTGAACACTATCTCAGTTTGTAGTGTTCGAAGCAAGTTTTGAGTGGGCATGATATGGTCGTCATTTATCTGTGCTCATAATGCCTCCCAACCACTTCTACCCCTGTATGATTGGTGCCATTGTCCTTGATTATCGACCAGTTACTCTCTGGCACGCGTCACTCATTTACTATGCAGTATGCATTTCGGAAATTCGTTGGATTAATTTCGGCTTTCCTCTATAGTTTCTCCCCATGACAACACATCTATTTAGCTTCCACAGTAACTCCCGTACCTTTGCTTGCCCTCCTACTTTGAGTAGCCTTGCAGAACTTGACGACATTTCTAGTACCGTCCGATAGCAGACTTCTGACTGACCATCGCCACTGCCGTACACGCCAATACAGGGATTTCCGGAGTGAATCAAATGCACCCACGGGGTTTTTTGTTGATAGGAGCATAAGTGTTGGCGAGAAAGTGTCCTCTTAGTCTTGCCACCGACCACAAATATCCAAACCTCACCATCCACTGTTTATTGTTGTTCTTAATTTATCAAACATTTGCCGCATTCACAAACCCTTCCGTTCTTTATGGGTTCCGACTTAGTATACGTAAATAACATTAAGCGATAATTTCCTCTTGGGTCGTCCGAAGGTCATATCCACCTGTCAAATCATATTACGCAATCAAGACGCAGACACTTCTGTATTGCACCACAGCCATAACCGGCGGAGGTTAGAGTCACTAATAAAATGTGTCATGCTTCTAGCTCTGGCTCTGCCTCCGCTATAGTCCTTTTTTGTGACAGAACCCTGGGCAACACCAGGTATCCCACTACAGCCTTTTTGTTTTCCTTCCCTCTAGCTTTTCGCTGCTTCCCCTCTTCTCCATGATTGGCAGTCAGGAAAGTCCTCTGTCAGTGAACGTGTCCGTAGTCTATTTCTCAACCCTACTCTGGCCGACGTTTATTTCCACATCAAGCCGAACGGCATCTATGAAGAACCATTTTCAGCACACAGACCTTCTGGAAGCCAGTCAGATTCATCTTTTGACTCAATGGCAAACTTCTTAACCCCGAACCAAAGGATACCTGCCCATTCTTTCGTGCTTGCAATCAGCTCGGCGGTGTTTGAAGCTATGTTTTTCGGCCCATTGGCTTCGAATAACCAGCGAACACTACCGCCGCGGATCAACTGTGACAACAATATGGATATTGTGTCCTCACCTTTGTACCGACGCTCATCATCACCCGCACTAAGTCCGGATACCGAACGGAATACATCCTTTACCACACCCATATCGCTTGTCACATCCCCAACTCAACCGATGGTGACCGAGAATATTGTCGACACACCACAGTCTTTCGGTGCTCCCCAGCCCTATGAAAACCCACCCAATGCCCCTTTTGAGGAAACCAGGCGGGCAATGAAGCGTAGTTCCACGCCTTACACTCAGGTGGAGCCCTCGCGAGGTCAAAATCCATCCTTAGCATCTTCCAACTTCCCATTTGGTAACTACTCCTACGGATACTGCCCGTCACATATATGCTTTTATTTGCTTCCATACAAAGTTAGCACAGTAATCATCGTGAAACGTTCACTTTTGTCTGGGTTTTCCATTTTCGTAGCCTGTATGTTAGGATTGTCACACCCTTTATCGATTTAATGGGTCAGTTGCAAAAACAGTCTTTCACATTTTAGAAATTGTTCTCTATGACGTGCACCCTATCGCATTCATAAATGTGCTACGATTCATTTACACCGACGAAATCACTCTGGATCCAAGCAATGTTCTTCAAACTCTATACGTTGCCAAAAAGTACGCGGTTACAATGATGGAGCACGCATGCGTAGACTTTCTCAGTCAGGCAATCAGTGTTGACAATGCCTTCTTGCTACTGACTCAGGCCAATTTCTTTGATGAAAACGAACTTGCTCAAAAGTGCCTTGAGGTAAGATTAGCGTCGTTACTAGGCAAGAAGGCCGTTAAGAACAATTATTTGAACCACCCTTTTCCGATTTGCTGTCCCCATTCGTTCGCAATGACGGTGTATTTTCAAAGAATGCTCAACTATAGCCACAAGCAAATTCTACTCCATAGCCTGTAGATAAAAAGTTTGGCGACCGTTTTTACGCAACCAGAAAGTCATTTACCTATTTCTTGTTTCATCAGCCTTGCTTGCCTATGGGCCCATTAAGGGCGTTTGGGATTAGCGGGTGCGAACGTCTTGCAGTTGTCAACTTACCGTCCATTTAGTATATATATTCTAGCTGAGGATTGAGATCGACCACAATATCACCGCTCCACATTGCAAATGACGAAGTCATTAACCACGTCATACAGCTCAATGACCGTCGATTACTTGTTGACCTTCTATCCGTCTAACAGAATGCCTGGCTCGACAATAAAGTCAATCAGACTAACTTTGATAATAAATTCATCACGCACGATCGATGGACTGATCTCATTATTTGCTGTCAAATGATTAGATCACTGGTCAGGGATTTTTCTCGCGCGAAGCTGCCAATTTTTGCAGTGATTTTCTTGCATGATTTCAGCCTACATTTCGTCTTTTAACAGAAGGTTTGTCGGTCAGATGTGGTCATGTAGCCCCACTCGTGGTAAACAAACCCCAGCCGCCTGTAATACGGGACCGGTGTAGGGACATTTCATTATTAACTATCTTATATAACAGTGTAACTCCTTTACACTTCTTGACCTTATTGGCTCTACATTCTGCAAGTATATCGCACTATCTGACTCATCAACGGGTACCTTTTTAAATTTATTATGACATTCTCTGAAAAGATTTGGTGGTGGCTGTGCCCTTGGTTTCTAAAAGACTTTGAAAATTCGAAGATACCACCGCCCCTTCTCTCTGTTATGACCCCTTAAAAGGTAATCGATAAAAACACCGCCAAGGCCTTGGACTCGGACGATTTCCTCGCCGTGGATAGTCAGTTGCTTTGCAGTATCCTCGAGCGAGACACTCTGTGCATCCGCGAGGTGAGACTTTTCCTCTCCGTGCTTAGGTGGGCCAAAGCACAGTACCACAGACAACGACGACGGCAAGGGAGCTCCAGTGGTGTCACACGACACCAAAAGCGTTCGTCACTCTCCTCTTGTGCGCTTATCCTCTCCCCGTCTGGCGACGAACCTGGCTCACTACCGTCCTTACCGCCCCCTCGCCCCTCGAGCACTCCGCTGGAGCCGGTGTCTGCCAGCAGCAACCGTGTGCAGTCTTCAGATTCTCAGAACGTGGAAACAGCGGAAGCTGTGCCGCCGGTGGAGGCTTTACGTGAAATCCTGGCTCCCATCATGCCTCTAATACGCTTTCCGCAGATGACTGTAGAGGAATTTGCCGAGGTGGTGGTCCCCTCTAAGGTGCTGGAGGACTCTAAGGCAGTGGAGCTTTTCCTTTACTACGTCTCCAACACTAAGCCTGCTGTTCCCTACAGTACCAAGTCTCGTTGTTATCTGCGCGGAGCTGAGGAAATCGTTCGACGCTTTGGGGCAGTTGACCAGCGTTGGGACTACCGTGGCACCAGTGACCGTATTCGGTTAGATTTCGTTAATCCTCTCTTCTTTCTTTTCATACCCATCTCCTTCGACTCAGGGAATATTTACCGTCTTCTCAGAAAGTGTTATTAGGTATTTTTGAGGTGTTTTTGGGTTGTGTCTAAGATCGAAGGGACCTATGCGACCACACGCTTCCTTGAATTTAGTCCTTGCATCGTTCCTTCGGTTCGCTTTGCAGCTCTGCTAGGAGTCCGTAGCATTATGCCTCATAACTATCTCCTCCTCGCATGCGTCTTCTTCAGTGACAGTCTAAAATGATAGTAAAAGGCTCAAGTAAAGTGACACAATTACGTGAGTCCAGATTAGATTTGCCACCACTGTTTGTTGGCAGACACGCGTCCGTTCGATCTTAAACCGTGATTTCCATGAACCTCACTGTTAGGGGTAATTTCATAAGGAGTTAGTGACAGCTTCTACACCTTAACTGCGCCCACCCAGCACCGCCAACGTTCAACTGCCCCGACCTGCCCTTGCGGCCAGCGGACGTTCCGGGTACCCATCGGTCTTATAGGACATCTTCGTACCAACAGCAGCACCTGGACTATGCCAACTGCTGTCTCCCCGTCCAACTCTGCCCCATCCTCTACTCCGACAACTAACACTGACCGCACTCATGAACCACCACTGTCATCCTTCTCCTCCTCCTCCACTGCCTCACCATCCGCTACGACGGCTCATGTACCCACCACCTTTGCACACAATCCTGACACCAACAAACATCAACCTCCCCACCTTCGACGCCAGCGATGTGGACTCCATCCATACCTGTCCTCATTGCGACCACACCTTCACCTCACGCATCGGACTGGTCCGTAGCTTGCGAATCTATCGAACAGGGACCGACGAACCAGTGCCTTTAGCACTAACTTACACTCGCCGCATTCGCCCCCACTGCCCGCACTGCCCCCGCACATTCGCTCACCACATGGGGCTCTTTGGTCACATGCGTATCCACGAGAGCGGAGTTCACTGCAGTCCCTACACACCTAGCGCCTCTTGCACATCTGCCATGTCCTGCTTAGCCCATACTCCGCCGCCCAGCACGCCCACCACCATCAGATCCACCACAGCACATCCTGCGCACCACCATGCCTAACTCAACGCACACCTCGTTGCCCAGCGTGTCGGTCATCAACAGCTCCATCCCCCACCATATCTGAGACCGACACTGACACTGCCAATTTCTCCTGTCCACACTGTCCCCGTACATTCACCTCACACATTGGCCTGGTCGGTCACTTGCGAATCCATCACACGGAGACTGATGAACCAGTGTCTGGAGCACCCACATACACTCGCCACATCCGCCTTAACTGCCCACATTGCGCCCGTACATTCACCCACCGTATGAACCTATTAGGCCACATGGGAAGTTAGAAGGAGGTCGATGAGTCAGCGCATTTTCATCACTATAGACAATCTGACGCGCTTGAAGCTATCACGGTGCGCTAAAGGCCGTAGCTTGGGAGGTTGCCAACTGACGGGATAACTGGGACCTCGCAGTCAGCCCAGTGTTGTGAGTTTGTGTGGAGTGGCCTACTGGTGGTATAAGGGTCAGGCCACAATGGCTCCTTCTTAATGTGGCCTTTATGACACTCCCGCTCCGTGAGATTTGTCCGCGCCAGCCCCTTCTGTTGTTATTGGTTAAACACATGGTCATCTGCTGTGTGGGCTATGGAGTGCGGAGTGGAGCCCCAAGGTGTGGGTTCGACCGTGACATCCACCTGCGCCCTCCCCCGTCCCTGGTCTTCTTGACTATGTCTTGATACCGGGCTCTTTTGGGTTAGGAGAGAGTGTAGTAGATGCAGCGCAAGTTTACATTCACTAGAAACTAAATCACATGCAAGTAACCGTGTCTGCGTCACCTTGCCGTGGAACACACAGTGAACATCGTCGGCAACGACGGTCGGACTGTCAAGCGACAGCTTCTAAACCTTCACACATACGGACTCTGGTTTAAGGAGCACAATACAAGGTCCCACTAATTATAGATGTAGCGCTTTTTAAAATGCATTTCACGTTCGAAGTAGAACAGAATATACACATATTGCTTTATTGTTTTGTCAACGTCTATTTTCAAAGGGTTTTCGGTTATAACACGGGCACTACTAGCAACTTGATGCGATGGGATGGAAAACATCAAGGAACATTTCGTTTCATACTTGTATGCATTAATGTCGAATGGCTTCTCTCAATTCCATATGAATGAAAAACCTCTCAAGTCACAACTTTTAGCGTTTACTGTTAGCTCAAAGTGCGCTATGTTGTTTATAGTGAGAAAAGTAAGCTCATTATTCAATGCGAATTGGCCCTACTCTGTTCTTCCTTACGTACAACAGGCAAGTCCAAGTCAACCTGACTACAGTAGGTGGGCTAACTCATGAAATGTCAATCGAAATTCCGAAATGCGTTTTCCTTTCGAAAAGATTAATTGAGTAGGGTTGTACAATTAGTCAGACTGCAACATAATTCTATAATATTTCAGTTACCTCAGGATGCCGCATTTCGAATGAACTTCCTTCCGGCTGCATGCAAAAACTACACTGTAAAAAATGACTACTCGAGTAGCATAATTTTTTTTCATTGATTTTCGATGCCTCTAAAACTCCAATTATATTTCATGGAATGCATGCATGAAAATATCCATTCTTTTGCCCATTTGGTAGACAATTACGTCTTTTTCCAATCTTATACCCGAAGGAAGGGTATAATTCGGTTTTCAGAAACTTTTCCAATTCCCGATTAATTTTGAACCCGCTCTACCGTTACACTTGGATTCAGGGTTTCCAAACTACAAGCCGTATATTTCCCGCGAACGGAAAACCACTCATTTCTCTACGATAATACGAGCGGATCATATAGGGTTCATAAAATTTAGCAGTGGGTTTGATCCATATGGTCAACTTTACAAATCACATTGGTAAATGCAAAGACATGACGATTAATGAACGGCCATTTCACGGAATTTAAAAGTCCCACAATTAGAAACTTTTTTATAACCTAATTATGTCTCCCCTTCGAGTATATAATTAGAAAAAGACGTAATTATCTACCGAATGGGCAAAAGAAGGAATATTTTTATGCATGTTTTCCAGGAAATATAATTGAACATTTAGGAGCATCGAAAATCAAAGAAAAAAATGCATCCTACTTTAGTGGTTGTTTTTTACAGAGCGTGGTTTTTGCATGCAGTCGGAAAGGAGTTTATTCGAAATGCGGCATCCTGAGGTAACTGAAATATTATAGAATTATGTTGCAGTCTGACTAATTTTACAACCCTACTTAATTAACCTTTTCGAAACGAAAACACATTTCGGAATTTCGGTTGACATTTCATGACTTAGCCCACCTGCTGTATGTACCTCTAATTGCTATGCCTACTTATGGGGTCGGTCACAGTGACTATCAGCAGGAAGCCTCCGTTCATACATGCCACAGATATGTCCGACTGCATGCACACCTGTACGAATTTATCAACCTCATATTTCATCTGCGGTACGGACATAATTATTTAACACCTTTCTCATTTCACTATCTGATTTAGTTAATCCTGTGTATGCTCTTGTTCTCCTCTTTTTCTCACTTCCGGATGTGGGATTTGGCAACGGAAGTTTACTGTACGAATCTGCTCTTACTAATGTTTGTCTGCAACCGTTCTTAAGCACAGGCAGTCGAAGATGAGTATTTTGTGCACATCTCCAAGTGTTGAGGTCTTAAGCTTAGTGAACGCGGAAGTTATGTACTTCCTTTATCACCGATCGGATTTCGTGTTAGCGTCAGAGATATCAGAAAATTTACCATTTGCACAATCCTTCCCTATCTTAACCGAAATGGGGCTCTGACGGGTAACGTGGCTTTACTACTTAAATCAAAGTGTCACCAACTACTGTTGGACGTAGAACGAGTTCGTTGAACTCCCAAAATCCACTTTTCCCTCAGTTTTGCATATGCTATCAACAATTGTGTTATCCAGTGCTCGCAGTGCCACTGCCTAAAAGAAAGGTGTAATTGACAAACTCAGTACCAGTTCTGACTTTCCCTCCTCCATCCCACTCCGAAGTATAGTAATGTCATCGTCTTCAACACCGTTGACACATTTATTTCAATACGTTCTCCAGTTTTCCATTTCGGCTGGAGAAATGTTGGACTGTGGCCAACTTGTGTAACAAGATGCATCTCACTTTTTTTACCTCCATCATCTAACATTTAATCTGTTGTTCCCACTCTAGACCTCTCATCCGACTTGCCAACGCCTTTTTAATTTCATTTTCTGACTCTTTTTAGTTTCATGGTCGATCGTAAGATCTACGTGGTCGGCTTCGGCCTTTACGGCAGCATACATGGCCAGAGCGAATATGAGGCGAGTATTGAGGCAAGTCTCTGCTCTTTCAACCGCTCCTTTTTTTATTGTCATTGGTCCGCCCATCCGGCTACCTCGTCAGCTGGCTTTTATGCGGAATACCGCAACCTTTTGGCATAACTGAGTGTGTGATACTACTGACGAGGGCGGAGACCTGCCAATATCGCCACTGTCAGGTGACTGTATAACCACCACAGCAAGGTTCTGCATTAAAGTACTACCTCGAACGTGCATGTTTTATCAACTTGCCGGCCGTTGTTTCAACCAAAAGAAGCCTCACGTAAAAGTAAACAGATTTGGATTGTCACTTGCCTTGAAGTATTTACTGAAGAGAGTGCAAATTCCGAAAATAGACTGAAATGTTTGTCAAGCAATAGTCATCTGCACCGTCTGTTGCTGCTTGGATAGTCTACTTCTGATTAACAGGCGATAAGGCAGAACAATAAGGGAAAATTCTCGTGATGTCTTTGAGTGGGATCAAAATAACCCTCATGCCTTCTGCATCCACTGGCTAAGTTGCCGTACCTGACATCCTTTCGAAGACACCAACCGTCTCTCCTTGGTTTACCCCACAAATAAATTAAGTACATGCAGTTTTTATCCCTTTTTCGTGGTTTTACTTACTTTGCGCTAATGAATAGTGTTAATATTTAAGTGGCCATGCCCCAATGTCAAGTTTTCAGCCTTATAACATGCCTTGTAGTACAGCGCAGACGTCGATCGAGTGCACCCTGGCCGAAGTTAGAGCAGCCTTGGACTTAGAATAGTATTATCTGTGTAGTAGGTATTTTGAGTCGGTTCATTAATTGGTTATGATAATCAATCTCGAAGTTCTATTCCCTTAGGACAGACCGCATTAAAGGGACTTTCAGTAAGTCGAGGAACCCAAACTGCTAACCCTATTGCATATCAAATATGGCATGCGTAGGCCGTACCCTAGCCCTCAACTCGCCATTCGAGGATGAGTCAAGGCTACCCTGGACTACGGCCGTAGGATTATTTTAAATGCAGACGTTATCCGTCAGCAAAAGTCATCTCTGTGACTAGAGCTCACCTCTGGTCCACCATTGTGAGAGTTCTAGTCAACAGCAGTTCTAACCGTTATATATCTGTTTTGGCATTCAACATGCTTGCACTCCACCGTCCTTGACCGCGTTACCGAAAAGGCTGCTCACGACCGAGTGCGAATCCGGAAATTCGAGCAAACAAAATGTTTGTTCCTATGTCCGAATCCCCCCAACTGCTTCCTGGAACTCGCCTTTTCGCCGGCTGACCTTAGCTAAACTCAGAGTATCGTCTTGCTAGCTGACGACCAGAATATCCGGTAAATGGGTTTGTTAGCTCAACCACCCCATCCACAAATTCTGCAATGGTCAAAGTATTTGCGAACTGCACTCTAATTTCCGGTCGTCATCCTGAAGAAGTTGACAGCCTTAACTATCTCAAAGCCAAGTCGTCGCCATGCAGGCAAAGAAAGGATGACGTCGTCCGAATAAATACAGTTTGAAAAGTTTTTGTAGGCCGTCGAACGTTTCAGATCCGCTGTCGCTGATTGTCGAGTGCTTGGGTATTACCTGCAAATTTGCTGAACTTACCAAAATATGTGCGATCACATCTGTTTTTAAGTAGTAATAAGTAAGATGCCTTGGTCTGGAGTGGACATTCGGTCAGCTATCATATTGATCCCCCATTTGCCCGCTATGTTCCATGCCACCAGTTTGATCTCGAGGAACATGGGCTAACTCGACCGTTGGTCCATGGGGTACCCCACTTATTTGCCTTAAAGTCATATGGAACAATGGACCGTCAAAATATCCCCGATGTGACGACGCCATGGTGCTTTGAGCCACCGAGATGACGCGTTAGCTGTCCGCTGTTCGTCCGGGAGAGGCGGAGCTTGCGCTGTAAAATACGTTCCTTTTTACTGTGCGATTTGTCTTCGATACTTAACCACAGGCCCAAGCCTTTGAAAGTCAGATACCCCATAAATCTGTTTGGGTGATACCCTTTCTCGCTTGAAATGGCTGCAGTGGAAGGCTGATATGCATTGTCCGTTTATAGATTTGTCGGTGACTTGCGAGATTTTTTGACTTCTTTCATTTTCAACCAGTATCTTCGAAATGCAAGTCGTTTTAGGGCTTCTGGTATCGCCATTTGTCAGTTCATCAAAGACCTTATTGTGCTTATGAATCGACTCCGTTTTATGGATCGCTTAACAGCACGCCTTCAGCAGCCCTTTTCAAGCAAAAGTGTGTGTATTATGGAAGGTTTTCAAAAGAATGCGACACCTCAGTTGCTTATGCATATATACATGTATTAACTTCTTGTGACAGCAGTCCACGATGAATGAACTGTACACGCGAATGAAATAGATGATATATACGCCACGTCAGCCATGCTTCTGCTCTCCGGCTGGCCGTCGGTTCACACCCCTGTCTGGCCCCGAAGATGACTTCTACGTCAGTTTAGGGCAGTGGTTCAATCATCGAAAGTCCACAGGTCGAGGACGCTTTTGTCATCAAGGAGAGCCATGTGGCCCTGGATCCTTCAGCGCCAACTTTTGAAGGCATGGCTTGATCCAGATCTGGCAGGCAGTTGTGCAGGCTGTTGCTAACCACAATCGGAGTCTGACGACTGTGGGCCTTCATGTTTGGCAGAAAACATGAGAAGAGAGCTCCCAGGCCCTTCTTCGGTTTGTAGTCCTTGTAGGTGAAATCATCGTAGACTACGCGTGGTCCGTCCTCTTCGTGCAAGCGAAACATTATTCGCGCGGCGGCAGATTGCGTCGACTTTTGCTGACCCTGTGCTGCCACGGTTTGAGTGTGCGCTGAATATCGATTTCTGCCCGTATGTCACGTGCGGATCCCAGCGCTTAAAAGTAGCAGACTCTGTAATGTCCGAGCCAGGTAGGGGTTTAACTTCTTCCTCCAGACGAGTCTGCGTATGCTTCCTTAGTATTACCACTTTGTCGAATGTCTTCTTGGTTGGAATCCTGTAAACCAGTGTGAAGTGGACTCATCGGTCTCGAAACGCAAGCACACACAAATTAGGATAGATTGGTGCTAAGGACGTTTGTTGAAAATATAACAACGCGCTACAACTATTTCTGTTTCGTCTTCTTCTCAACCTCCTCCTTCCGGGCGTTCCCTTGGTCACCCCCTTCGCACCCTTCCAAAGCGGTAACGAAAATCAAGTTCGAAAAACAAGTGGGTCTAAAAAAGAAAATGATTGACAGGGTCACATTTAAACAACAAGCCCGGGCTGCCCTTCTACAATGTTAATACTTGGTCGGATTGAGTTCTCACAACGCCCGATCTCGTGGAATTCGGATTTATACGGGTGAAAATGCTAAAAGTGGTCAGAACAACCACAAAAGTGCTAATTGTCGGTGTTTGTTTAGACCCATCAAACGCTGACGCATTTGTCTGGCGCCTTATGCAAGGAGACGATGAGAACGCCACAGTAAGCCTGTGCGCGACGCGTCACTGTCAGTGCCGACAACTGTGTACCGCCTCATAAACAGTGCAAATTGATTGTTACTTTGTTAACGAAGGTAGCTACGCATATGTGCGTATTCGTGGCGTTGTTACCAGTAGCACATAGCGGCGCGTGGGAAACGCTACGCGTTTATCGCGTCTAGCGTCAGCAAGCCATGGACTAAGCTTACAGTTAGAATTTTAGGCTGGCGGTACGGCAGCCTAACTCGATATTTGTAACTTAATTTACCCATAAACTGACATCTTACCCACTATCCAATCGAATATCTGGGGAAGATTATTTTTCCATTCGTGAAAATCCTTTTTTCAGCCAAGTTTTGCGACAAGTCAGTCTTACCAGATACCCTTGACCTCCTAACTTTATAAAGCTGACTTCATCTTAACTAAAATTCTACGGCAAGAGGACGCGGAGACAGTCATGCTCAGAAATACGTCCGATGTCTTATTTTGAGGCCCATATTTCTTTAGGCGACACTTCTCTTTGTACTCAACATAACGATACGCTGGCGTGACCGTGGAAACCCGTTGTTATGTCAACCTACCAAATGCAATTGTTCTAGTCTGTACCTTTAGCTGACGAAGTGAGATTACTGAGGTAATGCATAAACGAGAAATTGAAGTAGGCAAAATCCCTGGCTAGACAAAATCGTAGTGCTTGGTGTTTTACTGATTGTTTTATTTACCACTTTGGCTACTTTTACCTTGGCCTATTAGATACTTACTCAGTTGGAGGCAAAGATGTTAGAGACTTGTGGATTAAGTTAATCGGCGGGCTGACTGCTGTTCACTGATGCCCAATGCATGCTAAAACGGGGTACTTTCATTTACTCAGTATCCAGGATTATCAGCCAGCCTTACAGATTACGTCGCAGAATCCTGATTTGGGAGATACACTTTTTGTTGAATGCCTACTGGTCAAGTGCGGTTAGGGTATTCAACAACCAGGTCGGACAGAATTATTGTGTAGTGTCTCAAATGCATTTTTGCATTTCAGGGCGTAATATCTGAGTCGACTTGATTGGGTTGTGCTTGGGAATGCGATCATGCAGCAAAAATTAGAAAAGTCCTCGGTGGACAGCCGGACGGCTGCCATACACTGATTAATGTGAGGTCGTGTTTTCAACACATCAGCACTTCCCCATCCCACTCAAGAGGCGTGTGATTCTTCTCGGTGTTTCTGTTGTTTGTTCACCAACATGCTTTTCCTCTATTCAAGTCAACGCAGCAGACAGATATTCCCTACAACGTGCTCAACCGATGCGATGGACCACTGGTCGATGCTTGTTGACGTCGAAAGTAATTGGTGCTCTTTCGTCGCCTCGATTGGGGTTGTTCCTTTTGCCTCTGTTAATCGACCCGTCAGCTGCGACGACGGCAGTTTATATTTCTTGAAGTGGGGGCAGGCCTTTAGCTACACGACAACGATTTGTCAACAGTTCGTTTTAAATTTGGTCGTTTGCGGTCCTTCTAAAACGTGACTTGCAGTTTTTTGCTCATGCGCGAGGTTATTTTTAGCATACTTCAACGTATCTTTGCACGGGCTCAAGGACTTATTCTCGACCGACTTATGCCTAGATCAATTCGTCCCACAAGATTCGACTCCATATAGTAAGTTTAATGTAATGGTCTCGAAAACTGAAAACTCGCTTAATACTTCGTCTGAAAGTGGGCAGTTCTCCTAACTGGCCCCCCCTGCTGAAGACATTTGACATTGCCAGACATAGTCCTATCGTGTAATCAAGTCCGGTCATCTTCACTTTCGGTCCGCGTTGACCCTACCTAGCCGAACTTTCTTGATCACAACTAAAGACATGTTTGCATCAAGCTGGTCAAACGACTTCATATTGAAAGCCCATATCGTATTCTAAAGCCCGACTAGCCAGGTTCCATTTATGTGTGAGGCTTAAGTAGGTTAAAATATTTTTTGTTGCCTCTAGTGGCGCCTTTGTTGCTCTTTTTTGCATCTGTTGTGTAATACCTTAGCTTCTCCGTGGTGATTTGCATTTGTGCACCTTTTCCTCTCTAAACATTGTCTACAGACGACTTTTTTATGTGAGCCACCTCGGAAAACTGTTTTACTCCATTTCCACTTTTTCCACAGATTGTACATCCAGAGTCCGGGGTAGTTCTGGGCAGCAACGATGTGACCTACTTGGCAGACGGCTCAGCAAACACTTTCAGAGTGGCATTTAAGGAGCCCATCCCCCTGAATCCACACGTTAACTACCTTGCCAGCGCTACCATCAAGGTAGGTTCTTTCGCTGTTATAACCTTTCCTCTGCTTATTTGTCACCATATTATTCCCGTTTAAGGCGAAGACCGCCACCTACAGGAAGAGCACTCTTTATCCTTTCGAAAGTAGTATATTATTACTTGATCATGCGAAAGTGGCGCTTGGGTTATTGTTGACTGGTAATGATGAAAAGCCATTCCAGTTGCCATATATTTTACTTTTTTCCTTCTGCCATGTTGCTTAATGTTGTCGCTGAAATATTTGTTTGCTGCGTGTTCTAATTCTTATTAATACGTATGCATGTATTTCGCATATCCATTACTTAAGGTGCTTACTAGGTATGAGCTCAGAGAATGACCCAGTCCTGGTAACTGTTCGCTGTGGTTGCCCAAGTACGGTAGGTAGACTAACTCATGAAATGTCAACCGAAATTCCGAAATGCGTTTTCGTTTCGAAAAGATTGATTAAGTAGGGTTGTAAAACTAGTCAGCCTGCAACATAATTCTATGATATTCCAGTTACCTCGGGATGCCGCATTTCGAATAAACTTCCTTCCGACTGCATGCAAAAACTACACTCTGAAAAATGACTGCTTATGTAGCATGAATTTTTCTCCTTGATTTTCGATGACCTTAAAAGTCCAATTATATTTCATGGAAAACATGCACAAAATACTAATTTTTTGCTCATTCGGTATACAATTACGTCTTCTTCTAATTTTATACTCGAAGGAGAGACATAATTAGGTTTTAAAAAAGTTTCTAATTGTGGGACTTTTAAATTCCGTGAAATGGCCGTTCATTAATCGTCATGTCTTTGCATTTACCAATGTGGCTTGTAAAGTTAACCATATGGATCAAACCCACTGCTAAATGTTATGAACCCTATATGATCCGCTCGTATTATCGTAGAGAAATGTGTGGTTTTCCGTTCGCGGGAAATATACGGCTTGTAGTTTGGAAACCCTGAATCCAAGTGTAACGATAGAGCGGGTTCAAAATTAATCGGGAATTGGAAAAGTTTCTAAAAACCGAATTATACCCTTTCTTCGAGTATAAGATTGGAAAAAGACGTAATCGTCAACCAAATGGGCAAAAGAATGGATATTTTCAAGCATGCTCTCCATTAAACATAATTGGACTTTTAGGGGCATCGAAAATCAATGAAAAAAAATGTATGCTACTCGAGTAGTCACTTTAAAGAGTGTAGCTTCTGCATGCAGCTGGAAAGAAGTTCGTTCGAAAGCCGGCATCCTGAGGTAACTGAAATATTATAGAATTATGTTGCAGTCTGACTAATTTAACAACCCTACTTAATTAATCTTTTCGAAACGAAAACACATTTCGAAATTTCGGTTGGCATTTCATGACTTAGTCCACCTGCTGTATGTAACCTCTAATTGCTATGCTGTCGTAGTAATTAATGCGCAATTTGCCCAAACGATGACACTGAAGTCCTGTTTCATGCATAGAAAATGAAGGTTGCAGTTTACGCGGACATTTTGACGGCTTCACCTACATGTTCTATGATTTACGCCAATTTGACACGTTCAGGCTAATCGCTAGACCCATTTGGTCAGTGGGAGCTAGGTTCTTTCGTTGGTTATGGGATAATTATGGCAAAATGGCTCCACGCGAGGCCCGCTGTCTGTGTCTTCTCATCCACATTGTGACCCAAGATTTTAACTCTTGCGACAGGCCAACACGACGCCTTCTCAGCCACCTGCCATGGGCTGCATCATGCACCGAAACTCCTACGAAATTTGTTGGACCCTCCATCCCTAATTTTAAATGGAAAAGATTACACAAGCGCTGTTGAAATACTGATTATCATGGAGCACAGTCTTAAACTCGTTCAGTAGGACACTGAAGTAGGCACCCCCCGCGTATTAGAGGTGGCATTGCGCTAAATTCCGAGGGGGTTAGGGTTAGGACACGGAATGGGTACCGTCTGGAATTTAGCGCCAGACCATCTGTCACACGGGTGTACCCATTCTCGTTTCTAACCTTTAATCCATCCACTGTAGTTTGCCAGCTTTTGGGTGAACATCTTTCCAGCCGATTATTCGGCCTGTAGTAGAAGAAAGCACGCAGTCTACTATCTGGAGTGTGCGATATTACTCGCAACCCGCATGACCCGACGCTCGTCTATCTAAAATTTTTACGAGAACATGGAGGCCTCTGGGTAGGGATGTGTAGAGATCTACCCCCTTTAAGTGGACCAAACATATGTAGATGCATTTTAGAAACCGTAAGGACATAGAAGGATGTGAATCATATTTTAATATATACACGGTTCATTAAAAATGTGATTTAAACGCAATATTTACTCTCAAGCGCCAATTTTCGAGCATGCGGCCTCCCCCGCACATCGAGTACTTGAAATGAGACTGTGTATTCCTTCTGGAAAATGCAATTGTGTGCGAACGTCACAGAATACTTTGATTGTAATCTTTGCAGCATGTGGTCAAAGCAGTTGGGTTGACTTCTCATCCAAAAGTTAGCATGTTAGGGTGCATAAATTGCCCTCTCTCCCCCCAGTGAGTTTCTTAAGCTTGCATAAGTAATCATTTTTTTCTTGAGAATTTGCGTGTAAAGATTGTAGCCGAGGACCGCTGAGTTTCCGCAACGACTGCGTAGATGCTGTTTTTTGTGTTCTGACGGTCTTTTTGGTACAAGATATCCCACACGTCGCTTTATTAGTTGAAAGTAAATTAAATTTTTAATTTGTTGATTTTAGACTTATGTTTTTGACCACATAAAAAGTAGTGAAGATGGAGATTTTTATGACTGTGGCATAAATAAGGATACCTTTAACTTGATTCAGAAGCACAGAATCTAGTTGGGGCGTTTTCAATAAGGGCTCTTAGCGTGTTTGACTCCATTATGTGAAACTCTTCCGGAATGTTGTTCTTAAGCTGCTGGATGCCTGTGCTGGTAGTATAATGAATCATTCGATATGAGTATCATATTTGCACAAGTTGCCGCTGCCCTCTGGAATAATTGTGTTGGGTAGACAGACTTGTGGTAACTTAAGTGGGGACCTTGTTCTCTGCCTGTTATACAAAAAGTTTTGCATTTTTACATCTAGAGTCATACTCCTGCACAAGTTACTTATCTTTCGAGCCTTTATGTTTTTGTTGTTTCCTCAATTTCTTACGGATTATTCAAACGTGAACGTCCTGCCGAACTCTTGTTCGCGAGACTAGTTTCGTGTAAACTATTGATGGTGCTTTCAACATACATGGCTCTTGTCCCATGACCCATAACAAACTGGCACAAGAAGCATTATTTTATCTGTCTTCACCCTCTTAACCAATTTATTCGTATTTTTCTTGACTTTATAAAGTGTGGCAGGCCATTTAGGGATAATAAATGTCTAGTGGCCTTTTTGTAAACTCCTCTATTCTAGGGCCAGGACACTTACTATGGCACCCGAGGACTCCGCGAAATTGTTCATGAGTGTACTTCCGCCGGCAAGGTCACCTTCCGTTTTTCCTACGCGGCCTGCACGAACAACGGTACCTCGGTGGAGGACGGTCAGATTCCAGAGATTATATTTTTTGTCTAAATCCTCCTCCTCCGCCCCCCCCCTCTCCCAACGCTGGGCGCGCTCCTCCACCGACCCCGGTTATTGCTGCATTTCTTTCGCAATCCTCCACCCCTGTCACATGACCTCCAGGTGTTCCCACGTGTGCTTTCCGGTCTTTTAAGTCACTTTATTTTCTGCTCGTCTGTTTTTGTGCTTTTTTTCTGGCATTAGACTATGTTTGTTACACTAGCTCTTCCCGCCTCTGATCACTATCGACGTAGGGGTATTGAGTGCACGTGCTAACGGATCAAAGGCTACGTTTTTGCCACCGAACTTGCTGTTGTCCGCTGCCTTCTCTAGACTTGCCGAGACAGACTCAAGGTATTTGAAGACATCACAAATTAGGACGCAGTTTGTAGGTCTGTCTTGGATGTTCTTTTAAAATCCTATCTATATTTGGGTCCTTTTCAGGTATGATCACAAACCCAGCCGGTAGAAGGCCTCATACAACCGTCACTTTGGATGAGGCAACTCGGAGGCGGTGATGCGGCCTTGGCCCATCCTGGGCCGGTTTCTGGGTCCTCGAACCACGCGGAGAATGCCGATAATATGAGGGGATGATGATGAAGAAGAGGGGGGTTATTTACGTGACAGTGAAAGGACTGTGTGGGAGAACTAAGTCCGTCACTGTCTCCCACTGGGCTCGAGGTTTCCATTTTTGCCATTGATCAAGGAGAACGTCGAGCCGACACACTCTGATAGGTGGTACAGCAGCTGGCGTGTAAATCTAGGGACCACGGACCAGCCTCCCCACCGTAGCCAGAAGACTGGGGCCGGTTGTCAGCTGTATGTGTAATCGTCTGACACCAAGGCAGTGTCGAGAATTGACACGATAAATAGCTGTCCATGTGGGCTCAACATATGGCGAAATCATTGAAGGATTAGTCGACAAACCTAGGTGACGTAACTCGTGAATCATGATAACAGAAATATAGATTATTCCGCGGTCATCCCAAGCTCGTCTTTTTTGTTCGCCGGATGTACTCAGGTAACGTTCACCGCTCATGTATATCATGTTTCTAAGTAATTTTACCGAAGAAAAAGTATATAATTCTAACGGCTGCTCAATTCCCTTTAAATCGAGACGATTTCCCACGCTTATAACTGTCGCAGCCTACATGCCCGCATCGGTGCACGTTCTACAAAGTGGAATTTATCTGAAGGGGCGAAAAGTGCAAAAATACTTTCGTCTACGTAAGAATTGATTTTCCGTTCAGCCTAAATAAAACGGAGCAGTGTGTGGGGAAGAACGTTATCTCAGGCAAGGTATACACTTGGTCTTCAAAAAATCCACATTTTCGTGCAATGAAAAGTAAACAAGAACATCTGCAGGCAATCGGCTAACGTACCGATATTTCCCTGGCCAATCCAAATATAACGTATGTAGCCGCGAAAAACGCCATTAAACAGTCGTTCCGGGTTTTGAGCATATAATAAGGCACTTCGTATGCGGTGTAGTTTTGGCTACACGTAATTTCCTAGCAGAACGGGCAGAGCATCGGCAGTTTGGGCAGTATTCTAGTGTGCATATAGCCCTTTAAAACGTCTAAATGCCGTAGAGGAATAGATAATTTTCACATAGGCAGTATACCTCCTGTCATTGGGAATCTGAGCTCAGTTGCGGTTGCAGATCAGGCTCAAATTTATTTGGAAATCTAAACAGTTTTTGTCTAAAATCGAAGATGACTTTCCTCACATTCGAAGATGTAATTTGCTCCCAAATATACACAAGAAGGGATATATTTGCACATGTCTTCTATAAATTAGGATTAAATTAGCCTGAACAACAAGACGAATGGAAAAAAAATAGTATTTAAGCAGTCATTTCCTACCGAATGTAGTTTTTGTATGTGGCGGGAAAGAATCTTATTCAAAAACCAGCATCCGGGCGACTGATGTGCACGATGGTCAACGTTACAATACCACTTAAGTAAGCCTTTCTAATCAAAAACACATTTCGGAATTTCATTTAACATTTCATAGGATGGGGCAGCTACTGTATCTGACTCCTCTGTAGTGCATTTAGAATGGCAGAACAAAACCTAAAAATAAGCATGGTACTTGACCTACTTGTTTCTTTTTTGTCGAAATTTGCTGGGAGTTTTGCATGCAGTGCGATTTCACCAACAACTCTTTTTAGATGTTTTTCATGCAAAACAATGGGTCAGTATTAGGCTTCGTGCCTCAAAATTCCGTTTACGATCGTGCAGTGGTTCCAGTAGCCTGGCTTGTTAATATACGTCGGAATCCCCAAGTTTTAGAAATATTAATGAGCCCACCTTTGTTCTATAAATCGAATAATGATGTCCTTGTCGGGAAATAGGGCGTACCTCGCCTGTCTCTTTAGGCGGACCATATCGGCGTTTTCGAGTTAGGGAGACAAAATTCTTGTGGTGGCACATCAAAATCTAGACAAGAATTACTCACTGAAAAAGCAAACCTAATTATGAAATCTGCGCTCACTTGACATTCTTTGTGGGATTACGTACCAGAGCGTTGAGCACTATCTTCAGAGTCAAGTAAAATGACAGCAAAATTAGCAATAAAACTTTGTGGCCAAAATGTCAGATAATAACTCCCGCAAATCATTAGCCGTCTGGAGGTCCTCGCAAGGCGGATCGCACGCCCGCTGCCTGAAAGGAAGAATTGAATGTTACTTGAAAGCAATGTGTTCTAGAGCAGCCTCATGCGTAGCTGTATGGAGACGAGATAACGCTGTGTTTCTCTTGGATAGGCCTCATCGGACTCAATTCAATTCCAATACGACAACTACTTCCGTCCTAAACAAGGTCACCATAACCACAACCCCAATATCAGGAAAACGCCCCGGACGCCCTGCCAAACCCAGTCACCGATGTAAGCTAAAATGCATCCACGTCGCCCTCTCTGGCATCGACAAAATTGAAGAAGGCGTTGATCGGGGGGGGGGGGAGAGATCGTGTTCCACGCCGATCAGCAGGTTGAGGTCATGGTTTTTGCGGATACAGATGTCCTGGCGACCCAGCAGTCCCTTCCAGGTACCGTAGCCTGTGTTGCCCTGGGCAGTAAGTCGCTGACGCAGGTGCAGAGTAGAGAGACAATCGACGGTGTCCCGCAACGAGCAAGGTAGTCGTCCCACCATGAGGTCTTTGATGGCAAAGGTGCCACCAGCGCCACATCGTTCTCCCATGTGGCGTCCGCTCCAGGAGGGTGCCGTAAGGCCGCAGTCCTCAGAGTCGACCTCACTATCTCTTCCCTTGTGGGAGTTCGCTTCCGTGGTCACCCGCATGACCGTTTACGGCAGCCGTTCTGCGTGCTTCATGCTCCCTGCCAACGCGCTGCTGGGGTCGCGTGAGACTAAGTAAGAGCCCGAAGACAGTCAACGGTGTGTCGTTCGCTGATTGTCTGTGGGCGAACAAGTGCATGCTCAAAATCAACGGCCTTCACAATAGCTCGACCGTCGTTTCCGACGGCTTCTAATGGGTGCTGAGAGCAGGCACAGTGGCTTGCGCGTAATTTAGTTTAAAGTGAATGTGGACTTGCACAGCATCTACCGTACTCTCTCCTCCACATGGATCCGATTCCAAGACCGAGCTAAGAAGAGAGGAGGCGGTGAAGGGCACAGGTAGATGGCACGGTCGAGCCCGCACCCAGCCGCTCCAATCCACATCCCCTGGTCCCCACAGTAAATGACCAGGATTTTAAGCAACAACAACAACAACAACAACAACAACAAAAAGGGCTGGAGCGGCCTAGACCGCCCATGTGCGCGCCGTCACACTTGGCTCGAGTCCCACAGAGTGGGAGTGTCGTAAAGGCCACGTTAAGAAGGAGCTGTTTCAGCCTGGCTCTCAGCCAGTCTGTCACTCCACACACACGCGCACATAACTGGGTAGACTGGGTGGACTGAGTTGGGGCGTCAGTCAGCAGCCTTCAAAGCCACAACGCTTGACGCGCCGTGATAGCCTCAAACTCAAATCATACATGCGGCAAAGGAGTGCACGTAGACGGAGTCAAGACACACACTTCTCATTTGGGTGGGAGGTGGCAGATGAAGGCTCGTGGGGAGTGATGATACTTTCTGACGTAGGTGGAGGAAGACGTGATGGCGTGGTTTAGCCGGCGGTCGTCTACCGCAGGTTTTCGTGAATGTGCATGTAGCCTGAGAGGTTCATGTGGTGGGTAAATGTGCGAGTGCAATGAGGACAGTTGAGGCGGTTTGAGTTTGTTGCACGTGTTGATGAGGGATTGTGTTGTAATGTCTGTGGCGATTTACCGCAGGTTCTCATGAAGGCGCATGTGACGGAACAGCCCCGTGTGGTAAGTGAAAGTGGGTGGGCAGTATGGGCAGTTAAGGCGGGTGTGGTGTGGGTATGTTGGTGCTCCTGACACCGGTTCGCCAATCTCTGTGTCATGGATTCGTAAGTGATCGGCCAGGCCGATGCGTGAGACGAATGCGTAATAGCAGTTTGAGCAGGGTGGGTGGGGAGAGCCAGAATCGGCTCCAGCAGTGATGGTGGTGGGACTGCCAGTGGTGGGCAGGCTAGGCGATGGGGTGTTGATTGGACTAGGCATGATAAGTTTGCAAGCTGTGGTAGGATGTCGATACTGTGGCGAATTCAGTTCTCATGAATACACATGTGGCCGAATATGCCCATGCGGTGAATGAATGTGCGTGCGCAATGAGGACAGTGAAGGCGGATACGGTGAATTTGTGTCGATGCTCCAGACCCTGGTTTGCCCGTGTCTATGCGATGGCTTCGCAAATTACAGACTAGGTAGATGAGTGAGGTGAATGTACTGTCGTAATAAGAACGTTATGAGACCGAGTCCACATCGCTGGAGGTGGGGATGGTGATGGTGAATGTACTGGTGTTTGGCGTGGCGTCAGGGGCGTTTCCGTCAGCGGCGGTGGCGGTGATAGACGGCAGTGAGGCAAGGGGATTCGGAACAACAGTGGTGAGGGTGGACGCCATCGTTGTCGGCAAGAGGGTTGGAGCAGCGGTGGCCTTTGGGAGGTCCGTACATTGGGTCTGAAAATGACCGACGAGGTCGATCCGTGCACGTAATGTTCGCTGACTGCCCGCGCAGGTTTGGTTGGATTTAGTGGGCATGTTACTAATCAGGGATAGTTGAGACTTGTGAGCAGCCTTTTTGGTTTTGGCGGCAGTGATCATGTTTGTTCATAGATGGTTGCGCCAGCCCTCACTTCTGTTCGCCATGCCCGTCTGTTCAGGACGAGATTCTCCCAGAACCCCGACTTAATCTGCAGCTGCTTCAGAGAGTTCTTCAGATTGTACCTGTAGCATCGTTCTTGTCCTCCCTGTCGGTGAGCGTCGTGGCGAGTATCGTTTTGGTATGCTAGTGTCATCCAGTCTTACCAGCTAGCCGCTCCATCGCAGTTGCAGTTGTCCGGGCATAGAGTGGATACTGAAGATTCCAGCCCATTCCAGGACTTCCCTGTTCGGGATCCTGTCTTGCCATCTCAGCCTCTGTATTCTTTGGAGGCAGCTGAGATGAAAGTGATTGAGCTTCCTGGCATGGCAAGAGTAGACAGTTCAGGTCTCTGCTTCGTACAGGGGTGTCGTCAAGACGACAACCTTGTACATCTTAAGTTCGGTGTTTAATAGAGGCTCGTGGTGGTTCCACACGTAGGCTTGCAACCGGTCGAAGGCCTGGCTGGCTTTGGAGATCCGATGAGTAACCTCATCGTCGATTCTTGTGTGGCGTGACAGTGGGTTTCCTAGATAAGTGAAGCTGCCCTTAGTTTTAAGTTGGTTTACGTTGGCATTGATTCTAGGAGTTTTGCATTCCATGTTAAGCGACGGTTGGTGCATAACTATTGTCTTTTTGTGTAAATCGTCAGACCGAATTTGGCATAGCCGGCGGCGAAAAGGTCCATGCTCCGTTGCATGTCCTCTTCGTTCTGGCATAAAGCGCGCAGTCGACGACAAAGAGCAGGTCATAGATAGTCGCGTCGGGGCCTGAATACACTCACTGTAGAGAAAATGCCCGTCAGTCCCTATGCGATGCCTATCCCAGGGCGCTCAACACGGTAGGCGTCCACCATCGCAGTAGTGAACATGGGGCTGCAGAGTGTGGGCGTGAGTACGCAGCCCCGCTTCACTCCATTGGTCCATAAGAGAGATAACGAGTGAGAAGAATACAACCAATAAATCCTGCCCTTCTTGCCTACTTCAGCTTCGTACCGGGGACCAAATGCTTCGAACTCCATTGGTCACTGCAAATGCCTCGGATATTGCGACGTTGTCCGCGACGCACACCATCATTTCGCCGTGTTGCTGATGCACCGTGTGCACTAATCGATCAGAATAACCGGATTTCTGCATGATTTTCTACAGTCTCTCGCGACTCACCATATCAGAGGTCTTCGTTAGATCCACAAAGTGCTGTGGAGGGGGGTCCGCATATCCTGGCACTCCGCTTGTAGCTGGCGGGTGACAAAGATCATATCAGTAGTTGCGCAGTGTCGTCTGAACCCACGGTGGCTTTCCGGCAGAAGTTCTTGGTCGAGGTGTCCGTTGAGGCAATTGAGGGGGATGTGGGCGAGGATCTTCCCGGCGATGTTGAGTAACGGGATGCTCCTGTGATTATCACAGAATTGCTGGATGCCTCTGCGCTTGCACAGATGGACAATGGTTGCGCCCTGAGAAACTAATCCACAGCGCCACATCTCCTGGAATAGCTCGGCGAGACGATCCATCAATCAGTGGACGCCGCGTTTGTAGATTTCAGATGGGATCGCTGGAGAGTTGTTGCACAGCGTGGACGGTTTCTGGGAAGGGGGCTGGAGATCCAGATCGGTGCTGATTTCCACCCAGGGGAGCCAGTTGATGGTAGCGCCGAAGATTGTGGAGGGACGGTTGAGGACGCTTCTGAAATGTTCAGCCAATGCTTAAGAATCTGCGACTTCTCCGTCAGAAGCATTGATCCATTGGGAGCTGCGCCGTCCTTTTCGTCGGGGGACCGTAGGTCGCCTTGGTCGCAATGAAGAATTTCTTTGATTCGTTGCGGTCCGTATATCTCTGAACCTCCTTGACTTTGCGAGCCATCCAGGAGTCCTGTATTTTTAGCAACCGCTGTTGCGCAAGGTGGCAACATTGGTAGAAGGCTGCTATGTTCGCATCGGTTGAACGGTCGACGTAGGCTCTGTGCAGCCTGTTCTTCTTGGCGAGAAAGTTACTGATGGCTGCGTCGTTACCGTTAAACCAGTCCTGGTACTGGCAAGGCTCGCGGCCGTGGACAGCCAGGGCGGTCGACTGAACGGCGTCCCGTAGTTGGTACCATCGGGTCTCCACGGGGGAGTCTTCATGTACTGCTGGCATTTCTTCCAGCTACTGGGTCAGTTGACTGTTGAAATGCAAACAGTAAGCAGGCAGATTCAACAAATCGGTACACAACTTCCCTTGTGGTCGTTAACCTTATGGCCTTCTGAGGGGTTGCAGACGGAGCCTCATATTGCAGATGAAAAGTCGGTGGTCCGTCCAGCCATCGGCGTCGCAGATCGCCCTGGTCACCAGCACGACCTTTCAATCTGGCCGTCGGACGAGAACATATTCCAACAGCTTCCAGCGCCGCGATCGGGGGTGCATCCAGGCGGAAGGGGGTTTTGGTCAGCAGAGGTCGTTGCTCTGCGAAGGTTTGCAGAAGAAGGTTATTGTCGTTGCAGCCGGCGGTCCCGTGGGGACCTAGTACTCCCCTCCAGGCAACGCAGCCTGTCCCGACGCGGTCGTTGAAGTCAGCGAGGACGACCACCTTCGGCACTGACGCCAGGAGGCCGTGCAGGTCTTCGTAGAACTATGTCCTCGTCCTAACAGCCCGTGAGGTGGAGTGGAGGAGAGGGGGAAGAGAGAGAGATTGTTGTTGCTTTTTTGGTTTTTTCTACCACGAGATTTACGTATAAGAGTCACGGTACAATAGCAGATGGCGTGATTCCCCAGTACTTGTTTGGGGCATATTTCTAGCCCCATCCCCAGTATGGGGTCAGCAGTGTTATCCCTAATTAGGGCTGCTAGCATCCCAGACGGCTGCTGAATTCCACAATGGGTCACATATTGGTTTTGTGGGGAGCGATGCTAGCTAGCCTGATCCGCCTACGTGATTGCACGTCGCCCTCTCCGTAGGACTTTTTTAGGTGGGGTGGGGAGGGTGGTGGAGGGGGGAGATGGAGGGAGTGAGGTCGAGGAAACCAGGGATTGAGTTAGGGAGGGGTGGAAAGGGAGGCAGGTTAACCGGGTGCGAGGAAACACAACACCGCATACCCTCACTTGGTTTAGCCCGCCGGTTGATGCGGCTAACAAGATGTGGCCACTAGGCAGTGCCTAGCTCCGGGGTGCCACATTTGAGAGTTTGGTGCCAGTTAACAGACGCAGGACGCAACCAACGCGTGCAAGCAAAAGAGCAACCTACGACGGCCTTCACGTGGACCAAAAAATGGACACCCCTACACCCCAATCTGAGATATAGTCGGCCGTTAACAGTGGACAAATTTCTACCAGCAGGACAGCATGTAATGGCCCCTGCTTCTGGCTCTCTTTCGGTTGCCCACCTTACTCAGATATCCGAACGGCTTATGGAGGTTCAGGGTTTCGCCAAGCCGCCAATTTTCGCATCCTCAACCTCGATTTTTTCTGTCTCTCCTCTCTTACTTGAAGTATGAGGTAAGATGTGGTTATGTAGCCCCATCTGATAGACACCATAAAGTTGGAGTTGGCGTCAGAATTAGGAGTTAGGGCAACTATTCCTCAATCACTCAAAGTACAACTGTGCATTCCCAATAGCTTTTCATTTGTATACAACTACTTGACCTTGTCGCCTCTGCGTTCCCTGGCCCCGCCTGTAAAAAACCCTATTACCATCAATCCCGTATTGCAGGTGGCTGGGGTCTGTTTACTTCAGGTGGGGCTGCATAACCACATATGACCTCACTTTGGCAGCCTCTGGGGCGACACGCCTGCGTGTGTGAATGTATTATTTTGTATGCTCCTTTGACCACATTTTTGCGTTTACAAGCCACGATCAGATTGCTGGCGTGTTTTGCCAACATTTTTGAGAGCATGCGGCGACAGTTAAGAGGGATGACGCTAGCACTCAAGTCGCGGGTCATTCGACGGGACTCCGTCACATGTTCAAGTTTGACGAAGCCTAAATTCTCGCAAGAGGAGACGGCCGCACGAGACACGAGCTACTTGAGTTATGGTTTTCCGACTCTCAGTCGATCAACAAGCGCAGTGACCTCTCACCCCCATATACTTTACTGAGACTTTTCCTGCGCTGCATAATCAGCCATGTAGGCTAGTGAGGACGACCGGCGTTTCCAGTGGGCCAAATTTTCCAGTAATTATCACGTCAAGAATCCAGTACATTGATTGAGTTTCGGTAATTGGCGATTCGAGTGCAAACTAACAAGCCATCCTCGCACCAAATACGACCCCAACCGACGAATGCGAGAGCTGCTAATTAGAGTAGGCCTGTGGCTGCGCAGTAACTGCATCCTAGAATCACTGCACTCCATGTGCGTCCATCACCTTTATCTGCAGCTGCCTCTAATACTAGGTTCGAGTGAGAATCCGAAGCGTCAGGCCAAAGGACCCCTTGTTGCAGCGACCGCATCTTCTGAACTGTTTCCTGGGACTCGTCTTTTTGCATCTACTAGTAGTCCAACCGTATGCTTCGCATAGGACGCTCATTCGGGCCCCCAGCCCCTGGAACCCCTGCCCGTATCCCTCCATGTCGTGGTATGGTGACGAAACACGGGCACATTTCGCCAACACCCCTCCTGTTCTTAGTCTCAGACATAGCTCATAGCCCCCTCCCCTGTTTGGCAAGTCCAGACAACTCTCCGTGTCCCCTCCACCATCATTCTTCATAATTATTTTCGCTGCCCTGACGTGACGTATAATACTGTAGACACTCGACGATGAATAGTCGACACACGTTTACCAACTCTGGCTTTATGTCTACATGAATATCATAGCGGGACTAACACACTTCTAATGTTTCGCTGTCAACTAGAACACCAAATTCATAAGGCCTCCCCGGGGAACGTAGTTTGCATGTTTTCGTTAACTTTGCACTTGCACATTTCTATTTGTTACACTCAGCCCTCTCGCTTACTGATAGTCGACAATGATGCCTAGCATTCATACACGCGTAATCAACAACCCTTTGGTTTTCGAAACGGCCAGCCCGCCCTACGTCCCCCCCCCGCGAGCAATGTCCGCCAATTTGCCCCCCTCCCACTGTGCTGATGACAGGAATATGGCTCCCAAATATTGCACGGATGACCTCTCCGTGTAGTCACTCCAGTCTTCCGCCTGCCTTCAATATGCAGCCCTCACTCGACCGCTTATTGCATCACGACTCGACTTCTCCTTTCAGAGGTAATTGTTCAATAGCGTCCCAATGTTGTTCACGTGTGTGAAGTACTTGCCCGTGTCTGACAGTGTCTTAACAACACTCCTCACGGTCCCCCAGTTGATCGTGCTCGCGCTGGTTGCCCAGGACTCCCTCACATCTCATATGCTCTTCTGAAGACTAGACTAACGCACAAACAAGATCGTAGAGATACCTTCCCTTACGCTTCTCCTTGCTCCAGAACTCTGGCCCTTCCGACGTTTCAACTTTTCGAGGTCCTCGCGCTCGTCAGCTCCCCCAGCGCCATCTTAAGAACGTGACTCATCCTTGTTTCCATCGAGATGTTGCTACTAAACCTTAAACAACGTACCCTCGCTCTTTTCCAGGGGCATCGTAAAGAACTGTACGACTAAGTCAAGAGCACATCAGATTGGTGTTCATCGAATTATCCGAGGTGCTAGACGGGAACGAGTATTTTTTGTCTTTGAGGGCTCGGGTCTGAGGCCAATTTAGGCTACTGCGTGTCTACGAGGCACTCACCGATAGAAAAATGCTGCTTGGAGTGGCCATGAGTACGAAAATAGCCATTTCTGTCTTGTTTACCCACATCGCTCCATTCCCAACGGACTGTGCGCTAGCATCTGCGTCTGGGTTAGTACAGGACGACGGCAGTAAATTCAACCATTAACGGTCACGCTCTGGTCTCTCTACTTCTTAGTAATAATCCCAGACCATACATCCGCCTCTCCTGACACCTCGGAGAACAGGTAATTTGTAAGAAGAGAACCAAGCTGAACATCTTCCTTTCAAGCCAACCAATTTCCTGTCCTAGCTTAACTGCCCCGGCCCCAGAGCCTGAACTCATCTTAGACCTCCGATCCGGGACACACGGATGCTAATAACTCTGCTTCTCAGTAGTGATGCGTGTGCTCGGGCATGCCGAACAGAGGCGAGCATGGCACCCCGGTTGTAAGGGGTGACCAACAGAGCTTAACACAGTGGGAACTTTGAAATCACAGTCTGAGCTCGCAGAGGCGGCCCTAATATTCCCAACTCATCATCTCTGGTAGATGGACGCAAATCCTTTCAAAACGGCAGACCAAGCATGAATCACTTTCGGCTGCCATTTAATGCTTCCATACTTGGAAAATATCTCCGAGAACACGAACAAAATACTGGTACATAGCCGATAAATAGAACTTATTTTAAACCCCGGAATCTGGAAGTTCTTGGATAGCCGATGGTCGGGAATCCTTTCCGGCTGACGCCAAACAAGTGGAGCTTGCTTGGGGGTCCGCCTTACCACGGAAGTTTGAGCAAGTCTTTCAGGTGTAGCTTGTCAAGCAACTTTAGGGAAAACAAAGACCTTTACTTTTGGGCACCCATCTGGCTGCTGGCCACCGAGGCGTCGGCCTTCTCAACCAATACAAAGCTAATTAATTGGGGAGAGCGACATCTGAGAGGCAGAATTCAGCCACTGCGCTTGGGCTCGCTATCGTTGAATCCCTGATAATTCGGTTCATCATCTCGGTAAGGAGTCGAAGAAGCCTCAACTACCACCTCTTCAACAATCTGCGTGAAATACGGCGTCAGATGCCCCAATAGAGAAATTGGACATCGGGTGCCATCGCGAGTGAAAAACGCTTCTGGTGTCAGTCCTATTCAGGGGTGGATGGTACTTATGCATATTTCCTCATTATAAAATAGTTCCACGGTTAGGTTTATCCTGCACTCCTCGCAGGACCCACTCACCGGACACTATGATAAGGAGAGTAGAAGGCAGTGTAAAAAGGAGACCGGCCGCATTAAGACTTTCCGTCCAGACGCTAACTTGCGCGGCCACATCCAAAGAAGGAGAACGGCCTGGGGACAGTTACAAAATAGTTCGTCAGCGACAGGGAAGCTCACCACATAGACGAGTACGCAGACGAACCCAAGGGAGATAAGTGCCGTAAAACAGTTCAACGCAGAAATCAGCATAGATGTTAAACCTGTCAGTGGTTGGAATGTGCCATCTCAGTATAGACAAACGGCTGAGTTGGTGTATTTCCCGCTCCCCGATGATGGACTTGACCAAAAATTCGAATCAGCAGAAAAGTGCGTTTGTCCTCCCCCTGAGCAAACCCTCGTCTGCAGAGAGAAGATGGGCACCTACTTGTACAATTGATGTGATGGCTCCCTGCCGAATAGGTTATATAGGGGGCACAAGATAGTACACCCCGAGATGTAGAAGCAACATCAATGCGTGCGAGTGGAAAAAATGAGCAGTGCAATGGAGAAATAAAATGAGGTGTACGCCACACGACAAAAGGAGGTAATGATGGTGCAAAATGGCAAAAAATAGAGTACTTCTAGCAAGAAAACGCGGTTTCGACACAGCAAACCAGCAAAATCACAGAAGAAAACACGTTCAGCATAGAACGCGGGGAGGGAGAGAGTACGGACGAAGGACATGCGGCTGCTGCTCAGCTACGAGGTAGTAACCTTTTTCAGGTCACCCGCGTTCGCTTGCTCGGCCTGCACGGACAGCTGGTGCCGCACGTAGGCGTAGGCCATGGAGCCGGTAACGACGAGACAATTACCGACCCACCAAAAGGGAGACTTGAAGTCCAGGGCAATGAGGGCGGCCAAAAGGGTCTGGGCGGCGGCTTTGGCAGTTCCGGAGATGTTGTGAGTGAGCGGGCTGGTCACCTGGATCTGCCAGGCGGTCACATAGCTTATGGCAAACCCAAAGACACCGCTCACTAGCATTGTGCTCCAGAACAGTAAACTCATAAGGCTGTATGAAGATAGATTAAGAAAGGAGAGGAAGAATTAGAGAAAACAATTAGACCTACTACGTTACGGAGAAAAGAGCAAATGTAGAGTGCGCGCGGTGCAAGGATTTTCGGGCTCGTTGGGTAGTTATTTGTCAAGCAGGGCCCCTCTATAGGATTGGGTTGTTGATGTACGCTTTCGTGATAAGTGGCTCGACAGTTATAGCAATGAGTATTCGCTCAGATGGACTAGGACAAATAAGATAAAGATGCATAATAGAATCCACCATCAATAAAATGATGGGGGCTGGAAGACACTCTAACCACAATAAGTATCTTCGTAATTGTCTGCATACTACCTGCGAGGCAGACCAAACCCGTTTTATGTCCGCAGTTCTCGGGGATCCAACGGAGCAATTAATCCTTGCTATCATACCAGTTAATAAAAAATGACAGATTAGGAAGTAATAAAGGTTTACTTTTGTCAAGTTCGCCACCTACAACACTAATAGAATTGCTGACTATGTTTCGGGGAACCCAGGCCCCCGCTTCAGATGCATACATGCCTAAAAAGGAGTTGGTTTTGATCGCTGATACCGAGAAAAAGTTTTGCGCTGTGTACAGGAAACCTCCACAATGCGTTCAAGTAGGAAAGAGACTAGGCCAAATACGGTCAACATGCGTACGCATCAGAATCAGTAGCTTGACCTATTCAAGATGCAAAAAGTTGAAAAATAGTCCCATGTGGAGTGGATTATCTAGGCAGAGCGCAGTTTTCAAGCGATTCTTGCAGTCAGTTTGCCATACTATATCATGTTGCGCAGCATTCCAGACCAAAAAAACCGGCCGACGACTCTTATTAATAAAAAGTGATCCTCCTATCAGCAAGAATACTAAAATTTCAGCTATTCATGCTGGGGATTAATGATTAGGAGTGGGATAGATTTCCCCTGGCAATAAATTGCTCGAATAAATGCAACAGAGGAGGGCTTTGGGGAACCAGAGACCCAAGTCAAATTATGCCATGTAAACGGTGGACTTGCAATAACAAACAAAGTTCAGATGAGGATGTGACAGCCTTGGGCAGAGTTCCTCATTTTCGAGCAAATGAAACACACTTGCTCATCGCCTGTACTTCGAAAATACAAACGGAGATCAACAGTGTGGAATGAGCACATACCAAGAGAGCATTCAGATGCTCACTCGTCTACTTTTAGAGGGCGTGACGATGACGTTGGCAACAGCAACGTTAACAGTTACCAATAAAGGCGGACCATGAAGCCAGGGCCCCAGACGCCATTGTGTGGTGGCTCAAGAAAAAACCAGAACCCCAACAGAAGGCGCAGCAGCTTCAGGTCAGCTTAAGACTCTATGCACTTATAAGTGGCGCTGCAGATGACCCCGGATCAGAGAAAACGGGTATCTGTCCCAGCGTGCTGTGTTACCACAACAATGGAGTAGACGACATTTCATCGCCACCAGCACACAGCCGCTAACGGTAGGACAACGGCAGACGGAGCACTAGTTTATGGCTCTAGGGCGGGACTCGTGGGTAAAAGTAACGACAAACGGCAGTGCAGTCGTTTTGACGGAAATAACACTTCTGCACTGCTCGATTTTTTGCCTGCTTAGGAGTTGTGGTGGTCTGCTCAGAGAAGGGAACGGGGAATTAGAGTGGGAAGCTGCCAAAGCAAGCACAAAATCCAGATAAGGTAGACGGGTCTAGTAGTTCGACACCGATTGGGGCGAGTACCTGAAGAACGGCGGTAGATACTGAAATTCCTTGAACTCGGAGGTAATAAGGATGCCAACGATGAAGAGCAAGGACGAGTTGAGGTTGTTGTAAAAAGTCAGCTTCCAAATATTGTCACCAACATGGGCTAGGCCCTTGGAAGTCATAATAGAAAAAAGGGCCACTGCAAAGCTGGCTGACACACCGAAAATGAGACCTGACACAGAGAGTGAACCTGAAAAACACGGAAGGCAAACAAGTTAAGAGCGGGCGGTCCGATTTAAGATTGATTAACGGGGATGGAGAAAATTTGAGATGGAGCAGAATACGCCCTGGCCCTTCCTTTGATACCATGATACTTACGGCATTTCTATCGGTTTCACTTAAAGACATTCAATGGAGTCACCAGAAAAGCAAACAGTTAACAGCATATAGCAAGAGACGTGGTGAAAAAGACAAAGTCGAGCTTTTGAAAAATTGTCGAACACCTCTGCGAGCATTCTCTCGGGCTGCCGATGCAAAACAGACCCTAGAGCCCGGCATGACCGGAACGGATGCAGTGTCGGCGGAGACAATGATGAATTCTGAGCCGCTCATAGGACTAGTTGGAGAACGCTCGGCGGCCAGCCCGTCGAGATTCACTAACCGCTAAGGGGAATCGCAGCGAACAGAAGCTATAGTCGTAGGTGCGATTTCGTCGTTCTGTGTTTGTTTAATTGCCTCAAGACGCTGAGGCGCCACTGCCAGGAAAGTATAGACTCCAACAAGAAACTTGTCCAAACCGGAGGAGGTACCTTATGGCTGCACATAATCCGTAGCGTGTTGACAATTGCTTCCAAAGTATGATAGTTGTCGGACAATTGATAGTTTGGATAAAACTGATCTATCGAGATGAAGGAAATAAAGACTGCTTGATGGACGGTGTTGAGAAGGTGTCCGAACTACTCAAGACAAGACTCGGATTTGGGCGAGTTCCAGATGGGAGGAGGACCATTCATTGTTGTCAGCGGTCAGCAGTACTCCAAAGCCGGGCAGAAAAGGCCATCGATGTGAGTTCTGGCCATTTGGTGAATGAGCGAACTTTCCTCCGCCTAAAATGTGGGTCCACAGCCTGCCAGCTGCGATCGTGAATATTGAAAATCCAACGAAATGGCGTTCATTTGACAATTTTTATTACAGGAAGGAAATGAGCACTTCCGCACAGTCATGAAGCTTTTCCCCACGTCTCGAGTCCTCGTAGGCGGTCGCATGAAGACGGGCGGTCAATGATCAAAGTGTTATTGACAAAGACAAGAGAAAGAAACGGGCGTTTCTGGCCAATTGGTGGTCACCAGAGATTTGATTCTCGGATGAGTAGGCTATGACAACTTGACGCAAAAGAAACAACCTACCTAGACAGTAGCCTTTATTGATTTTAGCGACAATTAAGGCCTACAAGTCCTTACAAATAACTAGCAAAATACCCGTTTGTTATGGCTCACCTAAAAGAGCATATCTACTGGGTGCACTGCTATAAAGGAATATTCCGATTTTGAAGAATTCCTGATCTGACATTTGTAAAAGCTCGTCTGAGTGTTTGTACGCCAAAGCCCCTATCAAGTGCGTTTGATTTTGTCTTACCACTGAAAATGGGAGTGCAACTGCCAGTAAGCAGTACTAAATGAGGCTTCACAGACACAGGCGTCAGCACACAATTCTCAGCCTAAGACAGTTAAATGGGGTCCTTCACCCTACCATTGTGGATGCCAAGCAAGCCACCACTGCACCACCGGGGCAGTGGTGGTTCTCATGAAACACAATGAAAGAACCGCCAGTTTTCTTAATTTCACCTTCATGGGCAATTGAATGTAAATATCCTCTTACTGGACTGCATTAATGGTTTTTCCAACTTTTGCATAAGCCGGTTATGTAAGTGTGCATTCTCTGAACGCTCTGTTTTAACCACATGGGAGTAGCCTGTGTGGATTTATCCCGAGTGAAGGACGGAAATAGATTTTTCAGATTTGACTCAGAGGTGCAGGTCCACAGCATATGAAAGCTATCAGCACCCCATATGCTGGTGTATCACTGGCTGATGACAGTGAATAAGCCAGAAATGGCTTTTCCAGCGTTTTAATCTGTGTCGGTGATACTTCCTTATTTTGCTAGCATTATCTGATTGTTCTGAATCATTGGGGTGAGAGACTGTGACTCTCGTTAATGAGAGTTGTCCAGTAACCGGGAATTCGTTTTCTTCATTCTAGAGAATGCATTACTGCTATCAAGTGGAAGCCCTTGGGATCAAAAAGCTTTGCGTTTGTCGTCAGTTTAATCCCCCCCTCGACCGCCAGTTATGCTACGACTATTCTAAGGCGTCGTTTCCGCACATGCTCTTTGATGTTATAAGACATATAGTGATTTATGCCAGCGTTATGCAAACTTCTAAGCTTAGTACGGTGGACGTGACTTCCGTGACCAACAAAGTGCGAGCCTATGGCTTAAATTATAGAGTCCGCTAAGGCCAGTGACCAACTGGATCCAGGCTCAAAAGTCAGCCTCGGGTATGGCTGACTGAGGACGGCATATAAGCTGGAAATAGGCGTCTCAGCCTTCATCGTCTTAGTTGGGAATATCTTCCATTGGAAGAGCTTTAGGGGGGAATGCTACTAAGCAGTCTTATGGGCGTCCTCGGGATACTAATAACACGGTTGCTGAATAACATCAAACTTATTACTAGGCTCCTTCAAATGTGTTCATATACAGGGTTTCATAGACTACATGATCATAATAAGAAGGACTATTTCTCAGGGAGACAATTATGCCTTTTATTCTGGATGGCTAAAAAGTTGGCTGCCCACGAAAGATATGGAGAACTTGAGCAAAAATCTACTTCCCTACATGCGGTTCGACTGTCGTGAAGGACGATATCCAGCGGGTGTACTGCATGTGCATTTTCAGTATGATTGCGGCATTGTGGACGCGCGCCATATCAGTCGCTTCAGTTTCTCAATTCCAACCCTTCCTCATGGCGACCAAGGAGGATGTAGGTCCACATGGGGGAGGCATTCTGGACCTCAAAACTTCGTTGAGGGGACAGTGCCACCAAATATGTCGGTCGGGTGGAGTAATGTGAAGAGTTAAGCCACATTACTGAGAGCTGCGGCGACGTTGTCACCTCCAAGCCACAGGTGGCAAAACGACGGGAAGATCTCCGGGGTAATTTGCGCCCCTCAGCACTACCCACGGAGATCTGCAGGCTGATTTTCTAACAAGAAACCCGTAAGCAAGCCGAATAAGGCATAGCTAAGACCTGAAACTCCCATCTCAAAAGTTGACGAAAACCGTATGGAGTCATCCATCCGTTCTGTGTGTGATATAATCCGACGCTCGGGTTAAATGAAGGTATAGGCATTTTAAGTGTAACGATTAAGGAAGTTAAATCATAGAAAGCGAGAGGGACAAGGTAGTGCAGCGTACTCGTACCTAGGACATAAACGAAGGTCTAGACTTCCTCTACGTAATCAAGGTTTCATGAAACTTAACGTCAGAGGTCGTGATGGAACAACCCAAAAATACTGCAATTTAGCATCAGTAGTCGTCAGTAACAATTGTCAACTGCGATTGCCATGAAATCGGAACCCACGTCCCCTACTTTGGACAAAGCACTTTTGGTTTCCGACCGTTTGCGAGAATTCTGACGTTAATTAAAAGTAATAAACAAAACTAAACTTACCCAGACCGTTCTCCTCCAAAACACTTGCAATATATCCAAGTATAATAACTCCACAGCACAGAAGAGCCTTGAGAGTTGTTGTCTTCTTTAAAACGACGTAGGTAAGGATCTTAAAAAGAAGGTAAAGCCATATAAAAGAGGTCGCAGTTGACCGAGAATAGAAACAGTCCACAATCCAGTATAAACAGCAGGGGGCAGAAGTGGAAGCACTAAGAAGTGTTTGGTAAAATAACTTAGTCAAGAACTCTTCTGGATCGACCAGGGTTGAAAGACGTAGACTGATATTTAGTTTCGTATTAGAATCGTGTTATAAAACTATAAACATAACCATAGAATGACCTCAACAAAAAAGCCAGAGCTAAGCGTGGTGTCCTAGCCAATTGCTTTTCGGGTTATTGATGAGGCTCCGCTGGACCAAAAACCGAAATTCAGAACGAGAGAACGACTGAAACAGAAAACCAATCTGGTGGCTGTCAGTTGCGGAACAAAGTAGCTAAATAAACAGCTGTATAACTGTTATCATGTAAGTACTTTGTAATTCGCAAGGCTAGAACAAAAAACAGATCACGAATAAAATTTGTTGGACAGCCGAACTCAGTTAGGAATACGCAGTCCCCTGGCTAGCTAAAGCCCATAATCAGTTCGTAAGGCAGAACCCAGTGCAGCAACATCAAGAGAAGACGAGAATTAACATGGTCACTGCCTAGTCCTCATAAGATTTTTCGGTACGAAATTCAGCCATATCAGGTAGGCCATATCTGCTTGCTGTGAAAGCATAAGCCTGAAGACAAGTTTTTTTATGGACATCCGTACTGCCCACGGAAAATGACTAAGCGTAGGCAAAAGGAGCGGTTGAGTTTAATAAAAACAGTTGAATGGTATGTAGAGATGAGGTTCTTAGAGACGACATGAACAAAAGGTACTTACGACGTTGAATATTGTTGTCAAGGATCGCGCGACGAAATAGAAGGAGACGTCGAGATACTTCAGACAAAAGTTATTGCAGACAATCATGGCAAAGAATACCGTAGTAAGCGGCAGAATCTGGAAAAATGGCTTGACAAAAGTCCATATGTACCTTTAGTGCAGTTCCAAACGAAAAGTCAATGGCAGTAAAGGAGAGTTTTTCTGGGTATAAGTGACTTGCGTAAGAAAGACCCCCACAAAGAGCCACTGTACAGAGACATTGGAACCACGTAATAAATAGAGGCGCGTCGAACTACACCATGAAACCAAGGCAATGGACACTTACCAAGACATCCGAGTTGCTCAATAGCCATTTGTTAGCGAAGACAAGTGATATTGATACAAACCAATACAAAGACACAACGCCACAGACTTTTCCAGCGTCGTACGCCATACCTGAATGTAACCAAATACAGTCTCAATGCGTCAGGTGACATGCTTAAACAACAGAGAACTTTGAAGGCAAATAATGTATATTGAAAGACCACAAATAAAACAAGTCAAACAAGGTTCGAGTTGATGAATATGCGTTTGATGTGCTCTCCGCGTATCGTGATGAGAAATAAGCGCCTACTAAGGTCGTCCTTCTCATAAGCTCCAGGAGGTGGATATTCGATGCAACTGCCCATTACAATATTAGCTTCGCCATCTGTACAGAGCAAGGAGCCGGCAAACGTCCTTCCGTCAACTATTTGTACTGAGACGGACGAGCCCATTAATTTTGTCAAAAATTCACGCGATTCAACTAATGGGTCACCGACCATCGTTTCTTGGCTTCCTGCAACAAGGTCACGCGCAGACATCCCACCACGTAGGATTAACCATCGACAACAATTTTGTCTTTACCGTCCGCATTTCAGCCTAATAAAAAAAGATTAACAGACTTGCTATCGCCCTGTTCATTTTTGCAATCACGTTCTGGATTTATCTAAGCTTCATTCTTTTTAATCTCTTTATCTTCTTAAAATCTGTATAATGTTCTCCATTTCCTTTGTTGCCAGCGATGGATTAAATCACCGTCGAAACCTGTACGAAGAGGTACCAAATACTGTTCCATGTCCGAATACTACGAAGACCGCATCTATGAAGCTAAATCCTTGGTTGGATATTTTTTGTTTCCATTTTTGTTAATGTGCCTCTCCCCGAATTTGATTCTAAAGGCCAGTGAATCCAACAAACAAATTCAGTCTTCTCATGAAAGCCCGGAAAAATATAATAACCGAATTTCGGTGGTCATTATGAACGCGTGTTTGGGTCGAGCGTAACAAGATAACGAATGCATAGGGGATTTAATGTGAATAATTGGTGACTAAAAAGACTTAACTGCTGCTGATGCTCTGTAAGTGTACTTCCAGAGCTGTGTTGATGTTCTCGCGAAATCCGTAATATATATAATCTTTGGCTATAGTGTAAATGGGAGACGGAGATAGATATGGAGTCTGGGTTCGACCAATTTTATTTGACTTATACGTAAGTCCCTTTCTAGTGTGTAGCATTACTTTCAGCAATATTGTCAACGTACTAACTGATGGAATTAGCCATTCGGTGGAATCAACAATTCGGTGATGATGGCGGGAGTTGACCACTGTAGGATTCGACCTTAGTAACATATGTTGCAAACTGAAGATTAGACTCGCATTTTACGGTGGAGAAGGAAGGATCTTGAATATAAAACGAAGGACATTGCCAATGATTATGAGGTTTAACAATAATGTCATATGGTCTGACGGACAGTTGCACATGGCCACCTCGCCGTCTTCAGTTTCAGTTATAGTTTTATTAAGGGCAATATAGACGAGCGCCTTTGGACTCCCCATTGGTTACAAGTCGTCTGAGAAAAACATTGATAAGTGTGAAGAGGAAAAATAGATTCTGCACATAATTGTGGACAGCTGTCAGCCAGTTGGTGGGTAAATTCTGAGTAATTTCTGGTCGAATTGGGTTTTTGGTGTAATAGTGCCACACACAACGAGTCTCACGCCAAATTTTGTCTACCGTGAATGAACTCACGAATTTGCATGACTTAGTCCGTATTAAACGCCAAATAAAAACCCGGTTAAGAGTATAGCAGTTCTGCAAAGAGACAGAATTCATAGTCCGTCAACAGCCGCTGAGCGCCGGACCACTGCAATTATATGAAATTAATTCCTATATGCCAGACGGAAGAAGAGTATTTTAACATCCTAGATATGTTAGCAATGTCAGTTGTTTTCCTTGGTAACGTGCAATTAGTTGTTACCTGAGACGGCCGACAGACGGGGATTTCAAAGAGCACTTCTAACGCAATCATCACTGGGTCCATCTCTACTTACCAGTCTTTCTGTCCAGATTTTCATTCTTAAATGGCCTGAATAATTTTCATGTTTTAGTTTGCTGATCTACGAGCGCCCTCTTGCACACCCCCCTCACCCATGGACTGGAAGCATTCTAAGTGCTGATTTGCGCTTTTTATTCGAGATAGTACTGTTGAGTGCTATTTCCCTACAGCGAGTTGTGAGACAGTTTAAAGTTTATCCTTTAGAAAACGGAAGGAGAGTTAGTGCAGTGTTCACTAAATGTCTTCTTTTGGTGCGGACGTCGCGGACGACAGTGTACACTGTGTGATTTGTGGCTGGATGGGCGCCGTGACGGTGACCCGCATGCGGATCATTTTATTGTGATGTTAAACTTGTGCAGCATCCACCACACTCTTACCTTCCCTGCCTTCCAAGTCCCAGTTTTGAGAGAGAGAGAGAGAGTCAAGAAGACTGTGGACGGGACCAGACACAGTGGCCGATGAAATTAAACAGCCCGTTTATGTGTGCCACGCACGCTTGGTGTATGAACGATAAACCGGCTTCTTACACACAAACAGGAAATTCGCGTCTCGAATCCTATCTGAATGAAAGTATCATGGAGGAGAGGTCAAGAAACAGCTACTGCAGCCTGAATTTCTGTCCTGATGGAAAATCCCAGTTATCTCTTTGGCTAAGCGTTTTTCAAGCCACGGCGTGTTATGTACCTTGATAGATTGGAAGCGTGTCACATTGCTTATAGCGAGGAATACGCACTATTTACCGTGGGAACAAGGTCACAGGAGTCGACCTTACTCTCTCTTTCCCAACCCATTCGGCAGTGAATTAGCTGAGCCGGTTAGCCATTTGAGGTGGAACTTAGACGCAGGTGGCTTATACGACATGATCCGCGGACTGGAAACGGCTGCAGGTACTTACTTATCCATGCGTATACCAACCTCGACGTCATCAGCCGATAATGTGTCCTTTTCTAAGTCCAGTTATCATGACCAAGTGCAAATTAAGTAAAGACGTGCCATTTTCGCAGTTCCTAGGATGATTTACACATTCTAATTCAGCTGCAATAGTGCCTCCATACTTTATATAGTCGATACTGCTCCCTGAATGCTGACGAAGAGAATTCGTCTTTAATGTGTACTTTCGACAAAATAGTACTTGCGTTTCATGTGAGAAAACGGTCTTTGACCTGCATATGCGTCCTTACGAGAACAGTCAAAATGTTTTTCCCATCAGCAAAGTAAGTACTCTGTTTAATGCAGTAGTGTGTATTCAAATGCTGAAACGGGTATGCCAGTTAATCCAGCAACGCATTTCCGTTTATTTTAATCATTTCAAAGCCCACCACTTTTTTTTCTACCGGATGTCAATGGTTTATTTCGAATTATCTACTCCCATCACACACCAAATTTGGTTGATAACTTCGTTCGCATCCAGCAGGATTGAGTACCATCATTTAACAGCCGTATCAACGTCGACCTCTTAGGCATTCAACTTGCAATAAAGGAGAAAGGGTCAAGCAGATTACCTGTCTTGATGTCCCGTTTGTCGCAAGGGTACCTGCAGTCTCGAAACCAAGCGTTTAGGAAAGCGACAAATACGACCAAGTACTGAGCCTCAGCAGCAACCAGACTATCTGTCAGTAACTCAGTTTTCGTGGGACCGCCCTATCTGCTTGCTGAGACGTATTCCCGTGAACCTGAAGGCAAGGTTGTTGAAATACACCAATTTTTTTTAGTGATACGAATGCATGGTTGCGCGCGAAACTTCTTCACTCGGCACATGCGAAAACAAAAAGATGTTATCCAAACTTTGGCAAGTCCTTACTTCTTTCATTAACTTCTTGGAAGCCGTCGACTGTATCCCCCACATGATACTTGGATTTAGGATTAGACAGTTTCCGTAGGCACCTATTAGGTGCCGGATAATGTGGTCTGAAGCTTAATGTCACAAAGGGTAGTGGCGGAGTTATTCGCCGGTCCAAGCACCCGCGTATGATTTGCAGAATGTTTGCTCCTGGTACGGAGGGTTGAAGTCGCATCAGCAGTGAGGAGGAATGATGTCATATCACAAGACGCGGCCTGCTTGACCGGACTCTTCTGACGTAAGTTATGTCGTTCCCGCGAACTAACGAACTACGACTTACTAACCTCATAAACAAAGAGAGGTAAGGAAGGCCAGTAAGTGAATAAAGTTAATATTCAAAATGTGCAACGACCTGACCAGAGAGCATGCAAGCGGCGCGAAGCTTACAAGCGGCGGAGTCTTCGTCACGTTAAAACAAATGCTACAGTAAACAAACGTGACAAGATTGTCAAAGGTCAAGTAGTCAAGTACTTCAGCACAGTACCCCCCTCCGAGACCGGAGGGCCGCGCGAACGACGTCGGAGGACATACAAAGGTCTAGGAGAAATGAGTAACTAGACGATCGGGAAAGTGAACGTGACGTCCACTGCGGGTGATATATGCGGGAGGCACTGTTGGAGGCAGCTGAGTAGGTGTTGTAGTGGAAAAGTTAAGGGTGGAGGAAGAGGTTGCAGTTTGATGCTGCGAACAAGAAGGAAGAGGAAGTATACGGGACGGAGGACTAGGTGGGGAAAGTGGAAAAGGAGTTGGAGGAGGTATGGGGTCAGCACATGCTTGGCCTTGAGACACGTCCGGGGACTCCTCTGCAACAGCAGCCTTGACCCGGTCGATGCTGACTACGTCCTCTTTGTCACCTCGCAGAATCCGAAAGGTCTTGCTATTACGTGCAAACACACGAAACGGTCCTTCGTATGATGATTCTAACGGCTTCCGCACACGATCACACCGAAAGAACACATGGGTGCAATTGGCTAAGCCTTTTTCAACATTAGGCTCGGTCGATGGAGCTCGAGGTGGAACCGGGGAAAGCGAGCGCGTGAATTGTCGCAAACGATGCACAAAATTTTCGGGGGTCTCTTCGGCACCACGAGAGGTTGGGGTGACCATCTCACCAGGGAGTCGAAGGGTAGTGCCGAAAACCAATTCGGCTGCGCTGCAGTCCAAGTCTGACTTCAGTGCCGCACGAATGCCAAGAAGTGCAACGGGTACATTGTCTGACCAGTTTTTGGGATCTTCTGCGGCACGCAGTGAAGTTTTTAGCCGGCGGTGAAAACGCTCAACCATGCCGTTGGCAGCTGGGTAGTAGGCCGTCGTCCGAATACGTGTGCAGTCAAGGAAGTTGAGGAGAGTTTGGAAAAGTGTGGACTCAAACTGCGCGCCTCGCTCAGTCGTAATCATGGATGGCGCACCGAATATGGCGACCCAACGACTGACGAAGGCTTTCACAATGGTCTCAGCGTGCACATTCGGTAAAGGAATGGCTTTCGGCCAACGGGTACAGCGATCAACGCAGGTGAGAAGGTGAGTATAGCCAGTGGATGGAGGTAAAGGACCTACGACATCTAAATGCACATGGTTGAACCGTGCATCGGGGCTGGGGAACGTGCCCGATGGGGACTTGTTGTGGCGTTGAGCCTTGTTACGTTGGCAGCAAAGGCACGATCGTGTCCAAGCTTTCACATCCTTGTTCAACCCAGGCCATACGAACCTTTCCGCGAGGAGCTTCTGTGAGGCTCGAATCCCAGGACGGGAGAGTCCGTGGAGAGTTTGAAAAACAGCTCGACGCGTCGAGGCAGGCATATAAGGGCGATGAAAAGGAGTCGATACGTCACAAAGGATTGTGCCAGTGCCGGTAATCAATGGGACGTCAACTAATTGAAGACTGTCAACAGACGCGTCGCCAGGGCATCCAGCACGTCGTTGTTCAGCCGCCATAGCACCAAGATCAATCCCGTGTGAGAGGTGAAACGCCGAGAGGGAAGGTCTGGACAGCATGTCGGCCACCGCACTCTTCGGGCCATCAATGTGGAGGATGTCGGTGGTGAATTGCGAGATGTAATCCAAATGAGAAATCTCTCTTGAGTTATATTTGTCAGAATGGGACCGGATGGCAAATGTAAGTGGTTTGTGGTCTGTGAAAATTGTGAAGTCACGACCCTCAAGAAAGTGTCGGGAATGTTTTACGGCTAGGTAAATGGCAAGAAGTTCACGGCCAAACGTGCTATATCTCGTGTCGGCAGGTGAAAGCTTTTTGGAAAAGAATGCCAACGGTCGTGTCGAGTCGCTGATATGCTGTTGGAGGACTGCTCCTACGGCAACGGTAGAAGCATCAACCATCAGGGACAATGGGGCTTCTGGAACAGGATGAGTGAGCAAGGTAGCATCAGCAAGGGAGGTCTTTATTCTCTCAAAAGCAGTCAGCGCGTGGCCACGTAACCCAAGGGGACCCTTGGGACCTGAGAGCAAGTTGGTGAGTGGCAGCATAAGGTCGGTACAGTTCGGTAGGAACCGGCGATAAAAGTTTACCATGCCAAGGAAACGTTGCTACTGACGCTTGGAGGTTGGTGGAGGAAAGTCACGAATGGCCTCAATCTTGGAAGAGAGGGGACGCAAACCTTGTGCATCGACATGGTGACCAAGAAAATCAAGGGACGGCACACCCAGAACGCACTTCGAAGGGTTAATGACCACGCCAAACTGCTTGAGGCCGTCAAACACTAAGGCAAGATGCTCTTTGTGTTCCTTGGCATTTCGACTGGCCACCAAGAGGTCATCGATGTAGGCGTACACAAACGGGAGACCACGTAGGACTCGGTCAATGAACCTCTGAAATGTTTGGGCAGCATTACGAAGACCAAATGGCATGCGAATAAATTCGAACAGGCCGAATGGTGTGGTGACGGCAGTTTTGGGAGCATACTCAGGAGCGACAGGAATCTGATGGAAGGCCCGAACAAGGTCAGTCTTCGAGAAAACCGATTTGCCGAAAAGAGCTTCAGCAAAATCTTGAAGATGAGGGACGGGATAACGATCCGGGATGGCCACATTGTTGAGGGCGCGATAGTCACCACAGGGCCGCCAGTCGTCTGATGTCGCCTTGTGCACCATATGCAGAGGGGACGCCCATGGACTCTCAGACGGCCGAATTATGCCCAGTTGCAGCATGTGCTCAAATTCGGCCTTCGCCGCTTGCAGCCGGGACGGAGCCAGTCGTTTAGGCCGTGCGAATACTGGGGGCCAGAGGTGCGAATGTGGTGGACAACGTCATGCTGGATCTCACCACTTCGAAACTTCGGTTTGATTATGTTGGTGTGTTGGAGGAGCAGGTCTCGGTATGGGCAAGCAATACCTGTGTCCAGAACAGATAAATTGCAGGAGTCATTAAAGTGTGTAAGACCGCGGACAGAAAGACCAGTTGTGCAATCGAGGAGACAGGAACGCCGACAGTCAACAAGGAGACCAAACTCGGCTAGGAAGTCGGAACCAAGGATCGCATGAGGCACATCGGCAATCACAAATATCCAGGAGAATGATCGACGTAAACCAATGTTTAGCGTTAGGGAACGACTACCAAAAGTGGAAATGGGGGAACAGTTTGCAGCTTGGAGATGTAGACCAGAGCTGGGACAGCGGCGGTCAACTGGAGTGAGGGGAACCACGCTGATCTGGGCTCCGGCGTCCAACAGGAAACGCATGCGAGTCACATTGTCGCAGACATAAAAGGTATGACCAGAGCTGGGAGAGCCAGAGAAAACGGTCGCGTCTATTCTCTGGCTGGCTGGTTTCCCTGTTTCGGTTTAAATGAACAAGGGGAGGAACATTTGCGAGCCTTGGCGGCAAAGTTTGCGTGATACCAACACAAATTGGCTGTGCGAGGTCGCGAACGTGAACGATGACGGCTGGGTGAGCGATTACAGGTAATGCGAGCAAGCTGTAGTTTTAGGGGGGCTATCTCATTCGCCATAGCCGACATCTGTTGCAGTAACTGCTCGTTAACCGTTGAAGAGGATGTGCAAATCTGAGCAACGGAACCTCTATCATTCGGTCTGCCATTTCAGCAAGATGTGAAAGTGTAAGGTCTTGCGAGCCGGATGCCAAAATCGTTTGGACATCTGCAGGCAGCCGCTCTAGAAACATCTCTTTAACGAGTTTCTCGTCGACCTGCATGTTTCCTAAGAGAGTACGCATTCGTCGGAGAAGTTCTGAGGGCTTTCGGTCGCCCAGTGATTCCTCCTTGATCAACTGGTGGTAGCGTTGTCGGTCAGATACAGCATTGAGACAAAGGATTTCCGCCTTCAGAGCAGAATAGGGAGCGTCTGCAGGGGGTTTCACTAACAAGGGTTGAACTTGTGAAATAATATTGGCAGGGAGAACCTCCACAAGTTTGTGGTATTTCGACAACTTCTTCGTAATGTTGGCGGAGTAAAAGGCTGACTCAATGCGGATAAAATAAAGTTCAGGGGCGTGTTGCCAGAAATCAGGCAAAGTGAAATGAACAGCATGAACAGACTCGGCAGGAACGTCAGGTTGTTGAGTTGAGGAAGACATAATAAGCAAAATATAGGTAGCACAATATCGTGAAAGGGTTAGCGGGAAATGTAAATGAACTAAAATTTAGCAAATAGATACAGGACGTTAAATGTCATTAAATGTTACAGAAGGAAAGAAGTTAAGTCTGCGCTAACGTCGGGAGTCACCAATGATGTAAGTTATGTCGTTCCCGCGAACTAACGAACTACGGCTTACTAACCTCATAAACGGAGAGAGGTAAGGAAGGCCAGTAAGTGATTAAAGTTAATATTCAAAATGTGCAACGACCTGACCAGAGAGCATGCAAGCGGCGGAGTCTTCGTCACGTTTAAACAAATGCTACAGTAAAACAAACGTGACAAGATTGTCAAAGGTCAAGTAGTCAAGTACTTCAGCACACTTCCACACCTTCAAGTTTACCTAGGTCGTAATGTTTACGAGACATGAGCTGCTTGTGTCGTCGTTTTCCTACTCTCAGTTCGTTAACAAGCTCAAATACCTTCCCCGCCCATATTGAGTTCTCAGACTTCCTGGCTAAGAGGACCAAACATCCAGGGAGCAAGTAGGTGCTAACTGTTTCTAGTAATGACATAACTAAGTTAAGTTACCACATAGATATTCCGTCAACCACGGTCATTATCAATCTCGATTCGGTCGATCAGGCAACTGTCGTCTTATGTGTTAAAGCCTGCGGCAGATGCATGAACTACTGGTTTTGTAAGAATGAAATTGGGCAAGGATATAGTTTGTAAACGGGTTATGTTCAATAAGCAAAACGCTCTACTGCACTTGTTTAATTAGGTGCTGTTATATTACTATTAAATAGGAAAGGAATCTCTGCGCACCGCCAACTATATTTTTCCATCTCTGGTGGCGCCCTCCATATTTTGGAGTCCCTGACGAATGAAATTAGTCTTTCTTTCCGAACTGTCTCTTAGATCTCGTCGGATAGCACATCCAGGCTGAGGGAAAGTGCGCTGCAGGCAACCAGAAATCTCCAATGTTATTTGGCGAGCAAAACCACGGCTGATTAATTTTTTATGCATTGTGGTTTCTGTCCAACATCAGTGTGATGTAGTACGGCGGCGATCGGTGATAGCGCATGGCAATATCAGAGACAATACTATGCAAATATTAAACTCAAGTTGTCATTGTATATCAGTTGGTGGCGTCTCTATGCATTGAATTCTGTCTTTGCAAACCATTGAGGACGCATTACGCACGAGTGACATCTCCAAAACTGCTCACTAGTAGGAGCAAATACACGTGGAAAAAGAAAATAATCATGGAAATTTAAAGTTGGCCATCGCTTTGAAATGAATTTTAACTCCTCCAATTTACTTGCTCGTCAGGGGTTTTAAACTACGCAGGAAGACCTGGTTTCATAATGTAGGAACTTTTACGAATGCGCAGCCATAAGGACCTGGTAGGTGCCTCTCTCCAGCCAGCATCATCTTCAGATATTTCCCTTGTTCTTTATGACAAAAGTGGAGAAATCGGAAGCTTTAGAATTCAACGGCGTTTTCATCGAACGCATTCGCTCAGACACGGAGTCCCTTGCAGTGAACCCAATACTGTTTCCGCTTCAGTACGCGCAGCAGATGGCATCTGATATCTTCGTGATCGTGTCAAGCTGCAGTAGAACACTCTAAGCTAATAATTTCTACTATATGGCAATGCAGCCTTCTCAAATCATCACTTGAGTTCAAAAACTTGCATATGTACCCGCCGGCTGTATACAGGTGCTGGGACCATGAGCAGTCAGTCAATTTGTCCTCCGTCTTTTTGCGGCGAGTTTCCAGTTTACGGTTCTCATAGCCGCACTCGTAATTTACCAAATGATCACTGTCACAAGCTGTAATTTAGCGTCTGATGGTTCCTAGCCAGTACACAATCGCCTTCAGAGTGCTGCTATGACGAATATGTTCCACTGGCAGTGGGTTGCTCTCCATCCTCTTTATCTGGGAAGATGTGTCTCCATATTTTTTGAATATGTGAAGTTATTTCCAGTGTGGAAATGAGGGACATTTCCTGAACCACTCATTCCAGCGTCCTGACTGGAAATTTAAGTGACCACTGCCCTTACTTTCTTCTAAAGACCTTCGGTAATTAGACTAGAGAGTGGCGTCGAAAATCTGAACTGCAGTATTTTGGTGAAATTGGAGATCTTCAGAGGGTCCTCATCTCGTTTTACTCGTGTTCTTGTTGTTTACTTGAGCCTTAAACTGTCGTGTTTAATGACACTGGCTTAAAATAGGAAGTGAGATCCAGACAAATTATGCTCAGCTTCCAGCTCGAGTACACAGTCGCGATAATTTCGTGGCAGTTCACGCGGTCGAGCAAGCGGCTGTGTTGGAGCCTATACCAGTACAGTCATAAGCTGCAACAGATAATTATTCAATTTGCACGAGAATAGATTCCAGAGCGGTATACTGTGTCAGTAGGAGGCACCAAAAGTATGCACTTTAGACGGTACGTTGAGACTTGTCAAGGAAGTATTTGTTGATTGAATGACCGCTCCTTCCGTTCTTGGCATTGCATTTTGTACTGGCCTTTTCATCACTGTGGTCCACTTTTAGAGCAACCCTGTCCATTGACGGGACCTTCAAATGTCTCCATCAGGTCCAAACGAAGGTTTTAGGATGTGGGGACAGGGGAGGGAGGGATATCTCAGACAGTTTTGAAGCGATGAACCGAATTATTTAAACTCTTTTATAAAAATCGAATATGATTTTCGAGAAAAGGAACAAGAAGTAACCCAAAGTTCCTGCGTGGTCAGGTGTTTTGCGGAACGTACAATCTCTAAAGTCGCCAAACGGGATGGCAGTCACTTGATGGGGTATTCGAGGGGTGCTGTAAATTAATCTGACTACTGATTCTGCTCCGCAACTACTGTATCACCCAAAAAGTTCCACCGTTTTTTGTCGTGTTTGGCTCTAGCTCACAAAATATTTTTTGCTGTGCAGACGCCGTTGGATGCGGTATGCGTGGTTCTGCTTCACATGACCTAGCATTCCTTTTTCTCAAGGCGTCAAACTGTTAAGACTGATTTTTTAGACCCCTCAACATAGGAGTGGAATAGTGTGATTTTCGACTCCTGACACTCCATTTTCAAACCGAGATTGTGTGCATCGAGGGTAGCTCGCAATATAAGAGCAAGTTTTGACGTCAGCGTCGAAAGGAAAAAACAAGGCGATAACGGCTTTCAGATTTCGGGTCCGGATATCTGAAGCTCGAAGGAGCACTACACAATGGCTGACCATCAAGTACTGTTGGTGATCGCCGAGAGGACTGCTGGAGACCAACCCCAGGCTGATATGATCGGCTTAGGCGGAAGGGCTGGGCATGCCACATAACATCGCGTGGAGTCACCCACGTGTTCTGGTGAAGATCAAAGTGCTTGACTAATGGATGCTCCATGACTCGCACAGACATTAGATGAAGACAAGTTTGGGATGTTTTTTTTATCTTAGTGTGGATGAGAGACTGGCCCTTACGGCGCACGGATTTTTTTTCGTGTAACAGAAAATCAAGTTTGTATGATGAAAGGAAAGGTCCGTGCGGCCGCCTGACAAGGAGGAAATTCCTTGAACTGTGAGAAGGCCTGGTCTAGCCCGAAGTTTATGGTGCTTTCC